AACAAATGCTGCAAATTCGAAAAAAATCGGTCATTAAGATCGCATTTCTGTGCGTTTCGACGTGGAATGGCTCGTTAATACCCGTTTTCAGGATGTTCTAAATATATGCAATACACATATATCATAGAATTATTAGTAATAAAATAAAAATAAACCTACGAAGTGTTCCATACCGATTTCACCGAGCTTGTGCAGGTTCTGGGTCGGATTTGTCGGAATTTGTGTTCGTGTACAAAAAAGTAATTACTTTTAATATGCTATTACGAACACGTATATCTACGTATTGTCCCATAAATTTAAACAAACAATATATTTTTTAATTTACAATGACAAATATATTCATTATATACGAAAATCCATTATTTTTTATTTTGCATTATTATTTTAAATAACCAATTATTTGGCAAATAAATCATTTAGAAATAATTTATTTCTGAAATAAGAGTTTGGAATTTATTTGCATACATCTTTATTTTCAAATAAATTTATCTTATTTTATTTGGAATAAATATTGGCTCTTTTTATTTGTAATTTTCATTTCAAATCAAAAATACCCAAGCCTGTTTTATATAAAGTGAGAAGACCTTTTTTTAATACGTTTACAACGAACGGATAGAGGAGAAATATAACGTTGTTCTCATAACGTAGAGGGTAGCAGAAAATCCCTGACTTTTTACACTATCGGTATTTCAGAACATGAGACACGAAGTTCCATAAGATCATAGGTCTATCCTATACCTAGTCGGTGGTCCCATTCTATTCAACATGTCTATGAATAAAAGGTTTTTGAATCTCGCCTTCTATCAAATTTCGATACATCAATATTTTGCATCTATGTTCACACTATATAATATAATACATCGAGGCGAGATTTGCAACAATAGATCCAAATAGATCGAACTGCTAATTAATGGATAGAATAAAAATATAGGCAAGAAAACTGTTTATGGCCGGTTTCAATTATCTTTATCCTTTGGAAAATACAATTTTATTACTACCCAGTTTTATGTATAATTGATTTAATATTTAACGTAAATCAACTGATTCCCATTTGTAGTGGTACGAATGGCACGTGACATTGGCTGCATTCATTATGCACAGCAAGTATAAATCATCACGTTGCTCTTGAAGCTCTTGAATCTCCGGATACGGTGTTATTTCGAATACATTTTCCGATTTTTAAAAAATTGTTCGTTATATTAGCTTTCAAACTAACACAGTTGAAATTATATAAAAAGAACAATTGACTCTATAAAATTCTAATATGACTAATATTTCGAGACGAAGAAAAGCCCCAACAAAACTTAAGGTAAGGCAGCTGTTTATCACGTTTTCATGGGAAATGTTAGTGTTTCCTCTTTTTACCAGTCATGTGCCTGATTACAGAGCATGGGCAATCATGACCAATTTCTGAATCGTATAACGAAATCACTTTACTACTCGAAATTACCAATGACTGACTGCCTCAGTTTACCAGTTACTGGTTAGTACACAATCAACAAGTTTTTCATTTGCATACTTCATATTTGATTAGTAAAGTAATAAAGGGAGGGAAATGTACTGTTTTAATTGCATCATTCTAAATTATCATATGTGTAAAATAATAATTTTCAAAAGGTGAATTATGAAAAAATTTTTAATCTTTTAATATAAAAATTCTAGTATTTTGTACGTTTGATTCTTTTAGTTATTTTAATGTTATTACCTAATTAATTAAATGCTTTATAGTGTGATGAATTATGTAATTGAAATGTATTTTTAGAGTTGGCAGCGGAATTCTTTACTGAGGTAAAGAGTGGCCATAAAATTGAAAGATTGGATGTAGAAGAGGCTAGCAGGATTTCTAGAAATGCATGTGTTTCTCCATGCTCTCTTGTTTTGGCTTTATTGTACTTGGAAAGGCTGAAAGATTGTAACCCTGAATATTTGCAACGAGTGGCACCTTCTGAATTATTTCTAGTTTCTTTGGTATTAAAGAGCTTCATTTATTATACAAAATCTGAACATTTTACGGAAGATATTTCTTAAATTATAACGTTATTCTTCCTGTAGATGGTGGCTAGTAAGTTTCTGAACGACGAAGGAGAAGACGATGAAGTTTTTAATAATGAATGGGCACAATCTGGAGACTTAAGCATATCACAAATGAATCAATTAGAAAAAGAGTTTCTCCATGCTATTGTAAGAAAAATATTTGATTTATTATTGGTATTCTAAAGTGGTTATTAATTATTATTAATCGAAGTATTGAAATTATTTAGGACTGGACTGTTTTTGTTCACAATCAAGACTTTTGGGAAAGATTACAGAGACTAGAGAAAGATGTAGCCTACAAAGAAGCACAGAAAAGGGGCTGGTTTTCATACACAGAACTAAGTTGTCTAATGAACTCTATGCAGTTGTTGACAATTGCCCATGCTATGATAAACATATCATCTATTTGTTTAGCAACTTACACTGCAGGGATAGTTACTCTGTTGGGATCCGCTTTGGTTGCGAGTTATTTCCCAGGAACACTACTAAGCCCAAGGCAAACAACAAATACCACTGATATTACAGTAGATGTCAATCCAATTGTAGATATTCCAACAACTGTAATTGAAAATGTACCAGAAAATCTTCTTGTACAAGATTTTATGCCAACTTCGCTAAATTGCAATGAAACCCAAGGAAGGTCTGAAACTACCGAATCAAATGAAATGGTAAATGAACATTGGAAATGGTGGCTAAATTCATTCATGATCTGGTTACCAGAATATGCAGGCTTGGAACTAAAAGAATCATTGCATACAACAAATGATAAGGTGGAACATATGAACACATTCAGAACATCTACTAATTTTGTAGTGGATAGTACAACATTCATACAGAACGTAAATTGGAAACAAATCTTGAACATTGATTTGAATCTACTTTTGCACGATTGGAGGCATTATGCAAACTATGTAACAAAACTAACTCTTGGCCACCATCACTAAGAATTAAAACACTTTTGTTTCTAAAATTATTGTAAAATGTCTCTGCTCGAAACAGATTGAAAAAAAGTATATATTTTTTGTACTAACTTGTAATCTCATGAACAACTTCGATACTAACAATATAATTTTTTCAATAAACAAATGAGATGGATAACTTTTGCATAATTTTTTCGAAGCTACTATAACCTTCGAGGATATTTTCAGGTTCAAATAATACAGGAGATAGTAACGAAGAATAAATTATGTTAATGGGGTACATTGTTACTAGTGCTATTGGTACAGTTTTAATAATGCATTGCTTTATACATATTCATACATTAAATACATTCAATGGTATACACATTATATTATACTATATTACATGAACACTATGATTGTCATAAACTATAATTGCAAAAAAATTAGAAAAGCTTAGTTTGTATTGTCCACACTATATAAATGAATGGTTTTCCTTTGCAGTGTTACATATTTTCATTGAGTCAAAGATAGAAATTAATACCCTTATTTAGGAATAATGTTTTAGTAGAACATTTAGTATAGATACCTTCAACCGCTATGATGAAAATAGTTAAAAATGGGTATAGGTGACATCCCTATAAGACAGCCAATTGTAACTCCTATAACTCGTCCCTGAATTATTATAAATTATATTTTCTATTTAAACTGAAATTACATATTAATATAATGCTACAAAAAAGTATAAAAAGACTATGTATATCATACCACATTTGCAGCTAGTTTTGTTTTAGGCAGATTTAATTCTATGGAAGTAAGCTTTGGTGCTTGAAATCCAATTTTGTGTGCAAAAAGTTCTACATAATGTACAGATCCAATTCCTATTATATCCGACACTGTGTTTCCTAATGCTGCAGCTGTCATAGTCGATATTGGAAATTTTTTGTTTAAGATTATTTCTATTTGATCACCCTGAAATTAGTGACTTATACATTGAACTGTAAATTGTATAAGATTACTATACGTAGTATACGTACAGCGATAATCATGATGAAGTTGTCAAGAAAACCGAAGCCGATGAACGGAATTGCATTCGCAATTGCAACTGTAAGAATATATTTACTAACATTATTACTTATTATGTAGTATTGGATCAATATATTTTGCATTTTAAATTAACGAATTCCCCGGATTTCTATACCACTGATCTCGCCATAATTTAAATGTAATTTGAAATTTCAAATATAATTAGTATTAAACATCGTACCTAATATTAGATTTTTTGTGGATGGCCCTGGAACATTTTCAACTGTAACGGGAAAGAGGAAAATATAAATGTGTGTTGTTCAGTGGAAAGAAAATATTGCAAAATGTTTTCTAACGACAAGTGTTATAATAATTTACTTAATTATGAACAATATAATCTTTATGTTACTTACAAAACATAAAGTTGTTATCATTCGTGCATTTACTTTTTTGTACATGTAATGTGATGAATTAAAGTGCATTCCAATTGCTTTATTTCAAAAAGAATATTTTCTAAAGTTATTAGAAATTTAATTGATAAACGAGTTTCAGAAATTTCTTAGGACTATCAATTAATTAATCAAATACACAAAGATTTTGAGAAATAAAACTTTATTCAAACAAAAGTACATTCTGTTTACCTAAAAGATAGTTACATTGTAAGTTTACTAAATGGAGTAACATATGTGAATGGGAAGTAGTTCTGTGAAATATTTTCAGCAACATATTTTACACTACAGAAAAGATATTCTTATAGTCATGCAAACTTGTAAATTGTATGATATTGGGACTACCTCAAGTGATAACAACTATCTTCATAAAAATATTTCAATAATTAGGGGTGCAGTAAAAATGTGTAAAATTATTTTCCAAGAAACATAATTCACTTTTGTGTTTGTTCAGATATATACCATGCTGTACTGTGTTTAATACTGAATATTTACTAAAATGTTATAAGTGTATTCATGTTACTTAACAAGACTGTTGCAATTAAATGAAGAATAGATCGTTCAAGAAACATAGAGATATGTAGAACAAATGTAACACTGTATTCCTTATAAAAATTTAGGAATATAAATCATGTTCTTACCTAGAAATAACAGTAATAATAACAAATAATCTATGAGTACCTTAAATGACTTTAACAGCTTTTAAATCTAATGAAAAAGATTATTGTACATATTGTATTAAAGGCACCAGTTAGAATGTACATCGAATACAATATATTACCTAAGTGTAACTCTGTAGATGTCTTTTTAAAATATCCAGAAAGTTCAGTCAGAGTAGAAGAAGCAAGTGAAAGAATTAGGACACATAAGTTTGATAAAGTATATGGCTCAACATGCATTAAACTTACAGCGTGATGTCCATGTCGAATGCGATGAAAGGAAAAATTTATACTGTTAAAGAATAATAGGGATTATACTGAATTTTATTTTCAATTCTTTAAATCATTAGTATATTAAATCATTCTGAGTTGCTATTAGGGGATTAACCAATGGATTATATAAAATTACATACATTAACAGTTTGAAATACTTATTATGTTTTACCTTGATATCAATAATTACTGTATGTTAATAATAATGAGAATTAGCTAGTGTTAGCATGTTCCTACCATATTTACGTAAAAGCCAATCATCTGGAACTTTGCAATATTTGCCTGTAGCATCCACATCACCTAATGATGGAATTTTAGTGGGTCTTCCAAGTTCGTTGCACCATCGAAAAGCTGCCAGTTGGCCTTAATTAGAAAATTAGAAAACATATTTACATGAGAAAAAGATTAAAATGCATGGATTTTAATTGAACTAGCAACTAATAAACATTTTCATATTCTTGTGAAACAAAATGATTCAGGGTAACATGAAATACTATTTACTATGTAACACATGAGTGGTCATTAGATAAACTAAGAGTTAATATACTTGTGTGTCTAGCATTGGGACAAAAGTACTAAGATGAATACAGGGTTCAAAGGGTTTTAAGCTACGCTATTATCTTCACTGACTATCAGTCGAAGAATGAATTGACACTCGACCTAATGTAATGAAACTGGAAAATACGATTATCAATTTAATGACAGAGATCGGGTAACGATAATATTTAAACGTGAGGAAAGTAATTACGTTGATATTTCGCCTTATCTTCCTCTGATTTACATTCCTGTATAGCCTTTAAGATGATGTCACGTTCCTCTGAAGTGAGTTTGAAGGCCAATTCTTTCGCCTGTTGCAACGTTAGACAACCAGAAATACTTTCTACTTTGCCTTTGTCATTGCTGTGGCATGCCCTCCGTACATTCGACGTATCGAGAACAAGAGGAGGTGACAAACATTTTCCTAACAGAAAACTGTTCACGCAACACAGTTTCCGATGACGATGATATAGACGTGACATATTTCTACCAAAAGACAGAAATTCCCGTGGAATTACAACTGTCTGACGAGTGAGCACCGTAACCGTCATACTCTTTCTGCGATATCGTTTTTGAACTGACGTCTTATTACAAAAGTAAAAAAAAAACACAAAACTATAAAGACACGCAGAACATAAGCGAATAAAATCGGTATTTTAAACTATTTGAAAATCACAATGTTTTAAGCACAGATAAGACATTAAGAAAGGATAAATGCACATATCTCGACTTAGATCGATCGGTGGTTATTTAAGCCTGCGCCGCTAGTAGCAGCTAGTAGTCACATGCGTATTGAATGAACACCATGAACACTACGGAATGAAAGTAGGTAGCGTCAATGGTAATGGAAGGTTTAGATCGGACACTTAGATTATTGATTTATTTAAATACATATTTAGAAAGGGTATTCTTATACAGTAGTCGACAGAATCAATCTTCTTAATTGAATGCTCGTAAAATATAGAATTTAGAAATTCTTAGTCATTGGGCATCTATTTTTTTTTAATCGATAGCCTAATAAACTTTTAGTAAACCATCTAAATAGTTATCCATTCAAAATAAGAACTTCCGTTTAGAACGTGATATTTAATGGTACATAACCAAAAATATAGAAATGTTTATTTAGATTGTACTAAATTGTTTACCCAATTTGGCAGTATCGATGTTGTGTATAAACAATTGTTTGTTGAGACATTTTTCATTCATATTTTTTTTGTATGTATAATGACATAAACTTGGGGATTAATTCTACTGTGGTTATAACTTCAGTTCACATGCCGACACAAGTAGAATAGGTCGTTAATGTGCAAACGAGTAGAATAGGCTTCTAATGATCAACCAAGTAGAATATGATTGCCACAGACAGTCAAGTGGATCATTTCGTTTGTGGTTATACATAGAGAATTCGGCGGCAATGGTCAGACATAATTAATTAACAGAAATGAAGTGATAATAATTAAAATCCGCATAAGTTCAAAGGGGCACATTGATGTTCTGTGATCACTTGTAATTCAAAAGGATTTTTATAAAAGGTTTATACAATTCGTATTTACAAATTATTTTATACAATCATTAATTTATTCTTTACTAAATCAATACGATTTGTCATCTTTCTAATCGTACTGTTTTCATACAAGGCCTGCCGTATCTGCGTTTTGCCTCTTCGATAAAAGCATTTTCCATTTGCCTTACAATTTCATTAAAAAATAAATTCGACAAATGGGAATGTATGAGTGACTTGAATTCAAAGGATAAAGAAAAGTCGATAACGCAAGTTTTTGAATTGTTTTTCAATCCTGGACTGAAAAGCCATAGAGTATTTAAATGATTGAATAGTCTACCATCGGTGCATTCGGCTTTGACTAATTGTGGCCGTACCAGCGTTACTCTAGACGTGTAACTTTCGTGGATAGGCGGAAATCCTATTACTAAATTGGCTTTCAGACCATCTTCATTTTTTAATATCACGTCAGACTTTTTACAAAATGGTAAGAAAACTTTGTAACTTTTTACGTCCGCTACAACGTCGTACATTTGTTCCATTGAAAATCTGCACGTAAAAATAATGTAAAATATCTCTACAATATTTTTAATTTTTTGTAATGATATATCTCATCGATTCATTAATTATTACATGTTTAAAGAATCTTACCCTATTAATTTTCGTCCTTCATATTCCTTCGTCTTCGATGTATCAGCCATGTACTTTCTTTCCATGCGTTGTTTATTAAAATTAAGTTTACCTCGAAGCATTGCATTTTCAAACAGTGCAACACCCCTGCAAACAGCACTGTTTTTATCGACCACAAAATCAATTTAAAAAATTGTCGAATTTATTAAAATTATATACTACGAATAATGTAAATAAATTGAAAATTTTAAGGGTGTTTCCATATCCCCTTGTGAAAACACCTTTATGCGTCCTCGAGTTTGCAAACTGACATTCACATGCATAATGGCGATACGTTCCAACTTTTAATAACAAGATTTAGGAATCAATAACAAATAACAGCAGAATAGAAAGACTAATAAGAATAGTACGATCCAGTAATAAATCTTATTTAATTCAATTAAAAACTGTATTCTTTATAGTCTGACACACTTTCGCTGCTGTAGAGTAACATTTCCTTAAACAAGGTTATGTCACGCTTATTACCATTTTCACGTCACTAAAATTTTGTTATTAGCACTGGAGAAGTTTGGTTTATACTACACTAATTGCTTTTCACAAATTTCAGCAGTGTAACTTTACTTCTTAAATCATAGTACAATTGTATTAAACAATTATTAAATGACACTGAACGTAACCTATCCATAAAGCGATTTAAAGCTTACAACAAAAAACAGCAGTAACAAACATATGCACTTAAAATTTATTACCTATACATGATGTCGAAACAATTTTTTAAATCCACTGTTGTATAATATTAATCAAATTTGTACATATAAACTATATTTTCAATAAACTTCGAACATTATAAAGTCCCACAGCGACCACAGATACGCGTCGTTGTTTTTCGACAAATACTAAACATTTTATTCATTTGCGATGTATTTTATAATATTCATATTTGATGTTCTGAATGCATCATGAAAATAAACTTTTAGAATCACGTTAAGGATGGATACAACAGTGCATACGATCTGAGTACTGGCATGCTACAAGTTCGTTTAAAAATAATACGGTATTTTTACACTTAAACGTCAACTGATAACGTATAATGTGTATTACACACTATTCTGCGCATTGAAAAAATATATATACATTATGTACATACATATACATATATGTTTTTTATTTTTGAATAAGGTACATAATTTTACTTGACACATTCTACAAACTTTTACAAGAAAGTATTCAGTCTAAGTCTAAGAAATCAACTCAAAGCAAAGAGGAAATAATTTATATTTCAAGTATAATTGTTATTTATGCAAATGAACAGTTCCTTTTAGTCTCTTGTGATATTATGCGGCTCAAATGGAAAGCTGCGAAAAAAGTAGCGCGGCACAGAACGTATAAACTATGAAGGAATAGTAAGCTTTGTAACATTTATACACAATCGTTATATAGACTGGCTTTTGCGCGTTTGTCGCTTGCTTGTCGCGATGTTCAAACGGAATTTGACAGTGGTCTCGTGTATTTTTGCACAGGCGAACACCGCGGTGAGGTTGGTACACCCTCACGTGCAAAGTTACATAACACGGGTACCGCAAACGTCTCCATTTCAATTAATTTTTAAAAAATGGCTGGCATCGCTCCGCAGGCCTGCAGAAATGTATTGCGGCAAGTGAGTACCTCGGGAATGATTGTTCTTGTTAACAATGGAATCGTTCTAACAGAAAACTTTCTTTTTCATTGTTACGACATATTGTGCAAGGCATCGAATAACAAAATCTAATTCTACTACGTTTTGCTACTAATGTCAGATCAATTGTTTTTTTTTATTCGTACGTTTTGACGTTTCCATGTAAACGTAGACAACTTCTGCCTAAACCGTAATGAAACAGTATTGTTACTGAACATTTTCATGCGCAATATTGATTATTAGTTATGTACTTACACCACAATATGAGTCTGATAAATGTAGCCAATTATAATTATATAATTGACATTACTAATTTTAGTAGCGAATGTTTTAGGAGAATGATAGTTCATAATGAATTAATGTAAAATGATTTATTTCATTTAAGTTTGATCTTTGTAATTTTAATTTGTTATTGTAAATTTAGGTTAGAGGTTTGCATACCTCTATTAGTCAGAATGCTGAAGCCAGGATGAAAACTTTTTCTATATATCGTTGGAATCCAGATGAACCCAATAAGAAACCACATATACAAGATTATAAAGTAGACTTGAATACGTAAGTTTAATAGTGAAATATTAATTTAAGACCGATGACAAGAAAAGGATTGGTTTTATTGTTTCTATCATATCTTTACAATTTGAAGAAATTTGATTTCAGTTGTGGCCCTATGGTTTTGGATGCACTGATTAAAATTAAAAATGAAATTGATCCAACTCTGACTTTCCGACGTTCTTGTCGTGAAGGCATTTGCGGTTCTTGTGCTATGAACATTGGTGGCACAAACACATTGGCATGTATCAGGTATCTAATAATTGTTTTTGTATTCTTCTAGTGTAACAGAAGTAACATTAAAAAATTGAATGATAATATTTAATATTGTTGTTTTAGCAAAATTGATTCTAATCTAGGTTCTCCTAGTAAGATTTATCCTTTACCGCATATGTATATAGTGAAAGACTTGGTACCAGATATGACCAACTTTTATACGCAGTATAAAAGCATACAGCCATGGTTGCAACGTAACGAGGCAAAGGAAGTTGGTTCTACGCAATATTTGCAAAGTGTTGATGACCGTAAAAAATTGGTAATTAATATTTTACTGTAAGAAAACCTTTAGCTTATGCAACTGTAACTGATAATTTTCTATATTATAGGATGGTCTCTATGAATGCATCTTGTGTGCTTGCTGTAGCACTTCTTGTCCATCATATTGGTGGAATGGTGATAAGTACTTAGGTCCTGCTGTACTTATGCAGGCTTATAGGTGGATTATTGATTCCCGTGATACTAAGGCAAAGGAACGTCTCGCGAAATTGAAGGACCCATATTCGGTATTTCGTTGCCACACAATTATGAACTGTACCCGCACTTGCCCAAAGGTAAACGTCTCTATAATATTGTACTGTCTGTCCATTTGATACTAATATGTATTTTGCATTAGGGTTTGAATCCTGGAAAGGCAATTGCTGAAATAAAAAAACTGTTATCCAATATTAGCGAGAAACAGAAACCAGGTCTTGATGCCGCTGTTTAAGTAAGTAGAAAAAGTAATAGAAATTAGTCAACCGTGAGCATCCTTCATTTAACACGGTCACGCATAAACTTATGTTTTATCAAATAAGAGTGCATAAAAAATCCGCTTGCAGTATTTGATAAAACGGCGTATGCTGAATCCAAAAACACAAATTTTGTATTTAATAAATAATACATTACAATTATTGCCGACGTCTTTTACTGTAAATAAAACTGAATTCCCCGATAAAACAGATGGATTTTTATATTTGGAATTATTTATTTTATGTACATCGAGACACGAAAGGAAAATATATTAAAGTTTACTGAATGAATGCAGTGCGATATATTACATATTGTATATTTTTATGGTAACGTGTGTTATTAATAATGATGCGGAAACATTTAACAATTTTGTCGATGAGCAAAACCCTTTTCGATATGTATTTATTGGTTTCCTTACACTAAGGAGAAAAATGTGCTAGTTATTTGAATAAAATTTTTAGTGTCATCAAAAATATATGGATGTATTATATTAATACTAGAAACCCGTGCAGTTTCGTTTGATAATGAAATCATACGAGATCACGGCGATCATACGATACGTCAGAGAACAAGTAGTAGTAGTATCCGATATTCTCAAAATGCAACGTGCGCTTTTGGAACACGCTGAAACTCATGATATGCATAATTGAAAACTATCTACAGATTGTTGAAAATTTTCAAAGATTAAATGCATCCCAATGATATTTATGGTTCCGCAGCCATTCTGCTTCTGGCCGTTTCCCTGGATCGATTGTGTACCTCTGCTGTTCGCAGAGTTATACCAAATATATCCTCGTGATAACGATTTTCATCCTGAAACAATCGAACGTATAAACGATTCAACCTTTCGTCGAACTGTTTTCCCGATAAACTCCTGCACGACTTACGCGAAGGGATAACATATACGCTTCGACTTGTTTATCTGTCATTTCACCGTGCGTTTGTATGATCTGTTTCAATGTTTGGTAAACATCCTCGGCCATTGTGCAATCACCACAAACGTAGAAATGACCGCGTTCGTACACCAGCATATCGTAAATTTGTGGCGCTTCTGCTTGGATTAAATCTTGCACGTATGTCTAGGAAACAATTAAATGGATCACGATGAAAATATGTTGGAAACGATGCCGGAAAATGAATTTCATTCTCTGTACGGTACCTTTTTCAAACCAGGCTCTCGTGAAAGGGCCAAAAAAACCTTATCTAAAACTCCCGCCTTTATCATTTCCTCTTTTTCTTGTCTGTATAAATCTAAGTTTTTCTGCCGGCAACCGAAGAAAAGCCAAACCTTTCCGTACTCGAGATCTAAACATTTTACGTTACGGTTTACGTTCCTGTACAGCTAAACGGCGAATAGAAAGAAAAACATTGTATCTAGTTAGCGAATAGAAAACGGTACCTGGCCGACGTCTTATTTCTGAGAGCCTGTGATTCCAAAAACCACGGAATGGTGCGATTCCGGTACCTGGACCGACTAGTATCATAGGCGCTTTTGGTTCAATTGGCATGTAAAAGTTGGGCGCGCTGAATGCAATAGGAAAAAGAATAATACAATATATTGTTATGATTATCGTGTAACGGTTGAAACAGTGCCGAAACTATCGATGTAAGGGTGAAAAGGATAAAGAAAATCTTCGTATTCTAAACATAATCATCTTTCCAATAACATTAGTAGTTTAGTCGCTACTTTTAAACGACACTAATATTCGAATACTCTGTGTATGAATATTACCTGCGTACAAATACGTAGAGCGGTTCTCCGTCTGATGTCTCGCGTAAATAGTTCGAACAAACTCCATAATGAACTGGTCCAGACCCACCTGAAAGAATTTTTTTGGTTTTTACAAAAACTACGTTCCCGACAGCGATATATAGGGTGTCCCAAAATAGCTTCGACTCCCGGAAATTAGGGGTTCTTGGGACGATTTGAAACAAATTTTTATTAAGCAAAAAAGTTGTGTCAAATCGTTCCAGGAACCCCTTATTTCTGGGAGTCCAAGCTATTTTCGGACACCTAGTACATGCTCGAACATAGTTACACGGTGTCAAGTACCGTGTGTTTTGTATTGTACAACCGCAACAGTGAGATGTATTTGCCCCTGATGCACATCAGGGGAAGAGGAGATGCTGTAAAATCTTGGTTGCAAAGGGGTCAAGTGGAGCAACAATAACGGCGCGAACGGTTTAACCGATGGAAACTCATCTAGTACTTCTACCAAGTTGGGAAACTTCCAATGCCTCCAATCCTCGTACGCGGTTGGATCCTGTATCGATAAAAAGATTCTTCGAAATATTTCTTCCAGTACTAAAATAAAAAGTTCACAAGTTTTCGATCAAATGGCGATTGAACATTTACAGAAGACAGAAGATTCAGTTGAGTCTGTTCCTTCGAATTGGTAGCTATGGATGCAAAGTATCGGAGCAGATTCGGAGTTGGTGGTGTTGTGATGTCTAAAAATCGGGTTAACAACATCCTTAGAGTATTTGGTAAATATCTGTCGTGTGCGATCCACGTTTTTACAATACCTGAACAGAAAATAATAAAGACAATCAACATCACGGAAGGATAATACAGGATTAATGATAATATTCACGCGGACCATTAGGCGTGTGAGATTGTTTCTGCATTTGCAACTCGATCGGTGTGTCTGCATCGAAGGGGACCTGTACTCGTTTCAAAATTCGTTCCACGAGTTCTGGCCGATTGCATGCGAAAACCCCCAAATGATCGCCAGGTTTGTACGATATTTCCATGCTTGCTATGTCATCTAATTCCAACAATAACGTGGTTCCACTGAAGAAGAAAAACAATTGGAAAAGCATGAATTCGCAACGTATTAAATAGGATCACAAAATGATCGATCACGTATGTAACAATCACCTTTTCAAATCACCGCTTAAATTGGTCTTCCTGAGCATGTTACAAGTAGTGACGTTTCTGTTATGGCATTTGCTCAATGCTGAAATAACACGGTTAAATAAGCGTAACTTTAATCAGAAAGGATTTTACGTACACTCGCGAGCAAACTTAGCTTCCGCTAGGGAAAAAAGTAGCATAAGAGAAGGGCCTACTACCGGTTTGTAAATTTAATTCAAGTACTGAAATAAATGTTAAAATTAATGTTAATTTGGCATAAATTTCAGAAACTTCTGAAACCACCTGGTAGGGGGTCCTTTCCCTAAGTTTGCTCGTCGGTGTAAATCGAATAATGTCTCTGAAGTATACACACGCGTGTTCACACCTTTTGCAATTGGTTGAGGGTCTGCTTCCATGAAGCGAACCGTCGCAGCTGACAGTGCCTCCGATCCTAAAGACAACGCGACTTCTAGCAAAGTGTCGTCGTCATCCAAGCAAAAGGTCTCGCAAGCAACCTAGAATAACAGATGTGAAGGATACGAGAAATTTTTTTTTTTTTACAAGTACACTTAGCGATTTCGTTTCAGCGAATTAAATACAAACAGCGAATGTATCAGCCGCCCATTTCCGGAATGCTTGTTCTTGACCGCACATCTCGTCCCCTTGGGCCAACCGTAGTAAACGTTCTCCGCCTAATTCGCCCAGTAAATTGTCCACGTAGCGACCAAACGCGCAGAAATTCGGATACGCCGACGATCCCAACGCGAACACAGCAAATCTGATGAAAAATATTATTCTTGGTCCCATATGCGACACTTACACATTCATTCATGAATATTAGGACACCTGTTTTGACCAGAGAAAACTATGACGTTTTTCATACCGACTGCGTATTTTGTACCATTTGTATCAGTGATGAATGTATTAACTATCGAGCTTTAATATCCTCTGGACAATACTTATTCGATACTTATCTTTCGAAGTTGATAAGTAGACTGCGGATTTTATGCATTTATAGCCATGAAATAAAATAAAAAACAAAACTTTCAGCAGATCCAACGAGTTTTCTATTTTATCCTGAATCCAATAATATACTTAAGCGGAAAAAAAAATTTCTACGATTGCTCCTTCCTTTAAAAATTACTTTAACAGATTTGATTTTGCATAAAAATCCGCAGTCTATTGATAAGTGTCCTAATACGAACATGATTGTACGTTTTGATCGCCAGCAGCTAAGGTTCTACCTGACGTTACTCAAGGGTCCGAAAGTATCTTCACTTTGGGATTCTGTAGTCGATCCACGCAGAGAGTCCAGTCTGTCCAATTTCTTGCAGTTACTCACTTCCGTCTGACTGTTCGCTTTGATGAACGACTTCGACGTCGCTAAACTGCAATTACAATACGATTGCGAAATAATGTCCAACAAACTAAAAAAAAAAAAAACAAAACAAAAATGCATCGTTACAAACGTATACAAATTACCTTATTTTATTGCCGCTATTAATGTACGTTTCGTTCATTTTCATCGCGTACAAGTTCTGAGCAAAAGCCTAAAAAAAATCGCAAGCATATTATAACGAAACGTGCTTCCGCGGTGAGAATTTCTTTCTAACGAAAAATCGAACAAAATTTACTTCGCCATTCTCCGGGGGATCACCGTTCCCGAACGTGGACGTTATCACCAGCAACAAAGCCTCGTGCTCGATGTTGCTGATATCGTAGTCAGACATCGAGAGTACCTGTAACCGGCAGCTTCAAGTATTTATCAGACGTTATTTCACGGGAATAAAAGCTCGATGATGTCTGATAAGGTACGAGAATACCTGGGAATGGAAAGCGTGTCCTAACAGTTCGCCAAGCTTCTCGGCGTACATCTGAGACGTTCCAGTCTCTGTAGCAAACAGCACCGTGGCTTTTATCCGTCGGGACAGAGCTCTACCGAATAACTTCGATGTAAATTTCACGGCTCTGGAAAACAATTCATTCGTTTCACGAATTTAATTGCTGCATCACTGGTGACATGGCCGTAGCCAGGGGGGCACTTGCCTAAAAAAGTGGGTTTTACACTACTTTTGAAGAAGACGAATATGGTTACATTTACTATAAAGATGTTGCTACTGTAGAGGTAGAGGGTGTTATTAGTAATAATACAAGACCTGGACAAAAAATTGGACTTTACCCCCCCCCCCCCCCCCCCCCCACTCCCTTCCAGAAGGAAAAAAATTATATTGCCTCCCCCTGACTGATAACCTGGCTACGCCCATTAGCTGGTGGTCCTCGAACGTTGGCGGATTACCTTGCGATTTGCTTGAAATGGAATTTCCTTCTTGGTTTCTTGGTAGTTGACTTCTTATCACGGCCTTTCTTCCAGACATGCGTCTTCCAGGCAGGGTCCTGGAATTCCGTGGTAAAAACTGTAAAACATGTTCTATGTAAAACAGCAGGTATTTGATAAAAACCTGGGCATCGTAAGATGGTTTCAAATGGTACAGTGCCATTTCCTGGTGGAACACAGGCGTGGCCGATCCCGACACTGGCGGTACGATCCAGAGCCAATCGGCTGGACACCCGTTTCTCAATCGCATCTCGTTTTCATAGTGTTTCATGAACGACTCCGAAGCCGAGTGATGATCTACGATCGTCACGTTTTTCATCTGAAATATTATAGCTCGATTTATTGGCCGTTCTTCGTGACGTGTCTCGAGCAAAGAACTAACATATTATGTACTTGGAAACTGTGCAGTACTGCAACGTTCGCTTCTATCATGGCTTTGTCTTTCCACAACGAAGTGTACGTTCGTGTGTCGAGCCCCATGTGCGTCGCGATAGTCTGGAAATAACATTAATATCCGTGGATTTCGAGTAACAATATGGGCAGAGATCGACGCGCACCTCCATTAAATTGTATCGTTGAGAATCGCACAGATCTCTGGCTCCGATTTCGGTGCCCATGTACCATCCGTTGAACGGTGCAGCGGTGAACTCCAAACCGCCGCAGTCGAAGACCATTCCCGATACAGCGGGCACAGCGAACCATTTCAATCCCAGCTTCTCGAACCAATCGTATCTGCCGCGAGAGTGACTGAATTAATTGACAGTGATCGGGTAATTTAATTATTAGACTGCGAATTTTATGCATTTATAGGGCACTCCCAAATACAATGAAAGACAAAACATTCATCAGAAGTAACGAATTTTCTATTTTATTCTTCACCAAATAAATTACTTTATAAAGTGTCATTTTGCATAAAAATTTGCAGTCTAGTAATTATACAGGGTGTCTCGGCTGACTCGATCACCTCGAATAATAATTTAACGGTACACTTTATGAAAATTTCTAGACGTGGAACTTGAATGGTATCAAGAGGCAAATCTTATAAGGTACGTCCTTTTTTTCTGGGTGGAGGCATTTCAGAGATCTCAAGGTCACCTTGATTTTTTTTATACGGAATGACCTATTTTTTTACCGTAGATCGATAAAGTATCAAATTTTCAGTAAAAATCTGTCGACCTTTATACGTCCTGAACCTAATAGTTAACAAGATATTTACAAAATAATAACTCTATTGAAATCACTGTATTGAAATTGAGCGATTAATAATATGAATTATTATACGATTAATAATATTTACGTGGGATGACTGAGAGGAACTTCGAGGACCAGTTCGCTCGGGATATCGAAGTAATCAGGGTCATGACCGTTCGCTGATAGCACCAATGGTAGTATATCGAAACGAGTGCGTGCACCTTTCCAGCCCAGTTTTATACAGACCTAGAAACGAGAGAACAGGGGGCGTTTATCAAATCTGGGACACATCCACAGGGATGAATTCTACATGACGAACCAAGTCGAAAATCAGAAAGGACGCGAAAATGTGTTCGACGTTTCGTTTCCAAGTTGTTAACCCCCTAAGAGCTCAGTAAATAGGAATGAATTCATTTTAACAAACAAAACACATTGTTATATTACATTACTTTCCTATACAAATAATTCATATATTATTTTTCGGATAAAAAATTCTATTCTTTACTATTACGTATTTAACCCTCCGAGTACTGGACTCCCGGGGCGTCCGAAGTCGGATCATTTCTGACTGAGAAAAAGGCTCTAAAGCTCCCTACGCCAAAAACAGTTTTGCATAAACACCAATTTCAATGATAGAATGATTTCTTTACTTCTGTAAATTCCACATTGGCTGGATCCCCGGTCACTGTGCCGTCTGGGTTCTTGTAACCGGCGTACCCGATCAGCTGCTGGTTCCATACCCTATAGTCGTGTTTCCCATCCGTTCGTTGCGGAAATATCGTTATCGCGGACCTAAAATGTTTCCACGGATAAATGGACACGAGTCCCGACGGGAAATTCCGTTTGTCATGTCAATACCTGATGTTCCCTTTGTTCGTGCTGTATTTAATGTGATTGCACAGTGCCTCGAACATACCGCTGGTGGTGGTCACGTAACGGCAATCGAACACCTGCGAGTGAAAATTGATAAAATTCAAGTATGAATTTTTTACTGTTATACAGAGTGAACCACGAATCGTGATCATTAGATATGTTCCAATGTACAGAACGAAATGTTTACAGTAGGCAAGAGCTGAACATCGGAACGCGTACAATAGCGTAGCATACGATACTCTTTGTAATATAACGGTTCGAATATTTCTTTAATCTTTTCTCGACCCAGATGAAAAGAAAAGTAACACATGTTATGTTATGATACTCACCGAATTCGTCTTGAAATCGTCTAACAGATAGGCGTAAAAAAATTATAGGTGTATTTGAAAAAAATTGAAGGTGACCTTGGAAAATCATGAAAAAAAAAAGAGTTGATAAGAAATTTGTTATAATCACGTTAAAGCTCTCTTGAAACCATGCTATATCTGATAAAAACATTTTCGATAGGACTGCTAATAACAGAATAATCTCTACTGATCACGATTCGTGGTTCACCCTGTATACACACTGCGTGGCATAACGATAAAAAGTCACCCTGAAAATGACCGATTCTTAGGTGTTTCTGGTGAAAATAAGGACGAACTAAATATACCGTGTCTGAAATTGTGGTGAGCAATAATGTTTCTCCAGAAAAGGATAGAAAAAAATGTGGTTCGTTTTCGTTTTAAACCACGATACACGAGGATCGAAAATTTGCGGGTGGTTTTACAGTTATGCCAATGTACATTAACTTGGATACGATCGAAATGGTACATTCTGTGTACCACCAGAACCGTTGTCAAACGGCTACCTACTTGCAATTTCGACCATTGTATACGGCCGATACATCGTGCAGCATTGCGCCATGCCAGTTTCGCTCCGAAAACTAATTCAGTTTCGGTTAACTGATAAGTGCCGGTGGCTACGACCTCCTTTTGGACATAGTCCCAACGGGAACGATGAGCGTCGCTGTTCAATCTGTAGATTGTTTAACATTTAGGACAATTTTTTTTTTTATTGTAACAAATAGAAAGGGGTTAAAGTATAGTTATAATCTAATCTAGTTACAAGGGGGTATCTCGGATGGAATATAGAATATTCCATGAACTCGATGAACAGGGAGACAGAAGAGTTAGAGGGGGTGGCTCAAAGGGTATAGAATGGAATTACACTTGGTCTGGATTGTGACCAGGTCGGAAAAGATTATAGTGATTGTTCGACACAATTCTCGACACGATTCGAATTCCCTGGCAGGTTCAGTTTGATACCTTCTGATGGACGAAAAGTACTGCTCGAGGAAGTCTTTCGCATGCACGAGGATTTCTTCTTTTGAACGGGATTCCGGCCCGTGCGTTGGAAGCTGCATAACGCTACCGAGGCACACTTGACCCGAGCACAAAGTTCTCTGAAAACCGACACACATTTCGCCGCTAATGGTTTTCACGAACAAGCGTGGCATTTGCATAGTTTTTCATTACAGAGTGCAAATGAAATTTTCATTTCTAACATGGTTCCCGTTGATCCAACAAGGGACAGGGCTAGGGGGCCCTTCTAAGCCTTCTATTTCGTTACGTTAAAAGTTATTTAATTTTATTTAGAGTAAATTTAAGTTTTTTGAAAATTTATGTATTTTATTGTATGTTTTATTACAAAAATTTGTTACCCCCACCCCTCTTTTCAACCGAGGAAGTCCTAGAAGGTTTGATAACCCCTGGCCCCGAAAATCTTAATCCAGGCTTGCGTGTGTAGGTTGTAATTTATTTTTTCTCTTTTTTAGTTTGTTTCATCACATCCTTTTTGTTACGTGCCCGTTTCGGATTTATGAACGTTTACAAGGACCCCGGTCAACTGTTCCATTGGCTGCGCGACTGTCACGTCTGGATATACTTTCAGCGATAATATCTCCCGGATGATCGAACGTCGCCGATGGAAGTACCGATACGGGCCACGTTTTAAGGCTCCGTATCCTCACCCCAATTTTCTAGGGTCCCCACACGGCGGGATTTTATTACTGGTATTCTAACATTCGACTAATAATCAAATATGAATTACACGATAAACGTAAACGGGTAATAATATTCAATAAATTTTACTCAAATCTTAGACATTAAAATAAACAACGTTACCACTCGTAGGGTAGTGCGGTTAGGCCCTTAACACTAGAATTACCAAGCAAGTCAAAATGATTTGCCAATACACTCTTACAACGATGATTAAAATGTTATAACAATACATTTTTAGATACAAAATTAGTTAACTTATAAATTTGTAAATTTTCAAAAGTTTGCCATATTTATCGATTGATCGAGAAAATATGTGCATTTATCGTTGGTAGTTCTAGTGTTAAATCACATTAAATAACAATTTTAATATTCCACAAACGTTCTATTCCTATTGTTCCCCCGGATTGGCACGACAAACGCGAAACATGTTTTGAGCAGCGCATTACGGTGGACCCTTGTACCCCGCGCAACTAGTGGGCCACCGAATAAGCACGTTCATTCTTCGATAGTATTGACTCGGTCCACGATGAATTCGCCCACACTTGGGGCAGTGTTTGCTCCCGCACAAGTCCTCCCTCATTCACACTTGCGCGAACAAAAATGTCACGGGATTTCGGTATGTCCATAATTTCGTGTTTCGAAAAATCTATCAAACGAGAAACGAACTGGAATGGACGAATACGCGGAAATTATTGCAATATTTTCGTTTCCCACTCACGTACCTCGGCATTTCGGGCGTGCAACGAGTCGAACGCCTCGGTCTTCTGGACGAGATTCCTGAGTTTCGTCGGTTTTCTCTGGCAAGCCCCAGACTCGTGCTCCTTCATCTCGTCGTTTTCACCGTCCGAGAACGCGCCCCTGACTCGACTGTCACACTTCACACTGCTCACGGCTTATATGTGATATGTACCCGCCACGGGTACACTACGTACCCACCACTCTCTCTCGGTTCGTCTGGTTCGCCTCCTTGGCGAGCCTCCGGGGTAGGGATGCCTGCGCGAACCGAACAGGGAGGAGACTGTGTGCCACCCCCCACCGGTAATGACCACATGCGCCATGGAGCTGCGTCATCGATTTAACGGACAATTTTTCAACGATCCTACATCGGGAATTGTCCTACGCGATTTTTTTTATTAAAAATAAAAAAAATGGTGCCTTCCTAAACAGACGGTTCAATTTATTTGCATAAAAATGGCTGGTTTTTTAATCCGCAAATTTGTAATTTTTAATATATCGAAATATTCGTGGTACGGGATAGAATGACACATCTGATGAACAGATATGACAAGTTTGAACTAAATCGGTCAATTAGTTTTTAAGTTATCATGGCTGTCGATTAAGAAAAAGTAGTATCGAGAAAAACGCGATCAAAGTTCCCAGTACTGTTTTAGAGCATAAAAAGAGAAATATAATACACCTTCCTCTTCCTCAAACAATTGGTACAAATTGCAAAAAAGAAAAATTCGGTTTTCTGAAACAGTCATACTAGCATAGCCCCTTAATGCCTACTTAGATTTGTAAAGTTACATGTGCAAATAGCATACATTACTATGTGTACATCGTTGTGAGGGATCATCAATATTCCAGCCGGTGGATTACATGATATGTTGATGGAAAGCCTTGTAAGAAAATAGGAGTTGCACAATGCAACAGTGTGTGTCAGCTTGATTTCTGGGTGGATGGTCCAGGATTTGTTGGTATACATCAATTTGTCCCTACGCGATGGGATCGTTCCGCGTGTCGAATCAACGGTTTTTTGCCGATTTGGTTGCACCTTTGTTGACGAGGATCAATGGCTATGGGCCCACGACCTGTGTACTGTCAATGAAGACTATTCTGTAAATACTTTAAAAGATATTGTTTGTAAAAATACGAATGGTTGCTTAGAAAATTATCGGTGAAACCCAACGACTTAGCCTGAGAGACTGTGAAAGGTTAACGTCGTCTTCGGACCGTTACTTTTAACTTCGAAAAAATTGCCTTGGGTTGTTATAACGACGTTAACACGAACCTTTATTTTCGATTTGTTTCTCTTTTATCTTCGTTCAAACTTTTGTTTGAAGTATTGCGTGTTCGTACTAGTTTATTACAAATTTAATATTCACTTCTTTAAATCGGTTCGAGTGAATCCAGTTGGAAGTGTACATAAGAATTTACGCGGGTAGCACAACACTTGCTTCCAGTTCCGCGAACGGGACACTGTACCGTGTCAACGGAATACTTCGACGATCTTGGGAATTGCAAATTAATTCTTGGTATTTTCGTCTACCGTCGGTCTCGATCTAGAACTAGCAATCTTTTAAATAGGATCCGATATTTTAATTGCATTGTAATCAGAAACGTAACCTAATTGGAAGGACGGTTCGAAGAGATTTGAGAACGTCCCGGTGGACCGTGAGCGAAACTTTACGGTGCTACAGTGACGCCATCGATTAGTGTTCCGTCAAAGTTTTTACTCCACCATCTTTCTTTGCTGTTAATAACTTTTTCCATTACGTAATATTCTAATATGTATATTTCGTGGTGTTGCATTAATAAATATTTTATTAATACTGTACGAATATTTTCAATATTTCATTCGGCATAAATAACGGCTTCACGTGTCGAACTCCTGTGTCTACTTACGTAGTAAGATTCGAAAATTCGTCTAACCGTCCGGCGTGGAGAGTTATCAGTTTCAGCGAATCGATTTCATTCGGTACTAAACGAACGTGTCATTGGTGATCATTTTTATTACCAAACAGTTTTAAGTAAGCATAAACGTTTTAATGAACCTATTATATTTAAATGGCTCGGTGCAAAGTGCGCAATGAAATCCTGCAAGACTGACGCCGACGCGCAATAAGAATCGCAGTAATCCTGATTGCCTTTTGTTTCTGTTCAAAATTCAATTGTAGTTAGAGGGAATACAACGATGAGCCAGGAGGAAGAGAAATGCAGATCCGGTTTACCGTCGTGCAACGTGACACCGGAAAAATCACAAAGGACACGACTGGATAGTGGTGTGCACTTTATTACCGACTATGATTGTTACCGCGTGGGTAATAAGAATAATGATTTCATAATGATTCCGTAGGATCCGAGAGGAGAAACGCGAATTCGCATCTACAGGGAATAAAACGAAGAATTCACTATACACCTCAGAACAGTCCGAATAAATATTCAAAAACGCCCCAAAGCAGCGGTACATTGAAAAATATAAGCACATATACTTAAACCGTTACGGTTTGGTGGTTATCGATCGTGGTTCGAATATGGATTTTTCGTTACTATTCGTTTCTCTTCACTCTTGTAAAAAGAAACATTCCCCACGCTAATTTCACGACCCAGATAGCACATGATGTCTTGAAAACGGCTTAAAGGCAGTAAAATAGGCGTCTTCCGTAAAATGTCCTAGTTTTCCGTTCTATTTTTCGTAACGATACATTTTCAATTCATTAATTTCTTCTTCGTCTGCTTCAAAAAGCAAAAGGAATACAAAGGAAAAATGTTTGTCCTACAATAGGATCCTTCAGAAAAGATGTGAAATTTCAAATTGATAGCACCTCCAGCAACCGGAAGAACGAATCATCCTATCACGAGAGTCTGCCGAAGATTCAGAAAACATGCCCCAGCGGAAAGTTCGTCGATATGCTGATAGGAAAATGGTCGAAACACATGGGTGTACAGAATCCTTTGTTGCAAAACGAATCGGTATGATTCTGCACAGTAACAACGACAATAATTGAAGTCCGATAATTGGTAACAGATGATATTAGGTTGCCGCAATTAGGTGCAGTCAATATCTCTGGATACATGAGACAATTTTCTCGTATCGTTTGAAAAGATGACAGAATTTATGTAGCAACCCGATACTGGAAATACAAGATTTTATTCTTCTCTGAATAAATAGGCGCAGGAAAGCCCAAAGACACAGGAAACAACACAGAAGGACGCCATGGTGGAGCGGAAGATTCAAATGTTGCAGAAGAAACTGAAAGCCGCCGAGGAAAGCATATCGTCGCTCACGGTCGCTCGTGAAACGGAATCACGCGCCAAAGAGGAAATACTGAAACAGTGACAGTATCAATTTTTATCATGTATTTAAACAAACCGGAATGTCCAATTGAAACGACTTAGAAACTTGAATCTTTGTAGATTGAACAGCGACTGGGAATCGATCACTAAGTATTATCACGAGATATCTGAAAGTCTGAAGTCATTTCACGAGCACAAAGACAATCTATCCAAAACGTACAGCAATATTATTACTATGCAAGAATCGACCGTGAAAAGGTTGCAGCAAGAATTAAGTAACATGAGATTAAAAGGTAGAGTAGTTCGATTGAATGATACTGCGAGCTTCGTTTAATTGATACTTGGACTGCTTCCACAGATACGGAACAAAAGAACTTCTACGCGGCAGTGGAAAATAAAGTAGTGATCCAGGAAAATAGGTATCTTTAATCAATTTTATTTATCGAACGATCTAACGTCTCTTCATTGTACTGGAAATTTGTAGAATACAAGAAATGATGGTCGCGGAGATAGAGTTGAAGAAACAATTGGAGTGTATCAAGAGTGAGTCAATATCAGAGAGAAATCACTTAAAGAGGATTCACGCGGAAGAAAAATTAGAATTTACGAAGGTATAAAAATACCTTGACGATTCTTCTTTTTTTTTTTTCATTTTCTGCGTAAAAAATGCGTGCGTTATCTCGAACAGCTCTACACGCGTTCTTATCGTAGAAAGCTACTAAATGTTGTAAGCGATCGCGATTTCAGGAACACGAAAAACTCACGTCGACGAAGGACGAGTTACAACGGCAATTAAAAACTGTCGCTGAAGAGAAGCAAAATTTAAGCGACTCGCTGAAAGAAAGAGATAAAGATATCTTGGTTCTGCAACAAGATATTATTGCGTTTCAGTGAGTATTTACGGACGAGTAAATTATTACACGCTAATACTTTGATTTATTTTGTCAGGAATAAGATTGAGAATCTGTTGAATCTAAATGCAGAATTAAACGTGAAATACGAGAAATCGGTCGAGAAAGAGGAGGAACTGAAAAAGGAATTGGAATCGAAAATGATAGAAGTATAAAGATATCATTTTTTTTTTTAGTTATATACGTTCAATTGTACATATAAGAATTAATATTACTTTTTAAATAGATCGATAGACTCAGAGAAAATTTGAACACAAGACGGGAAATAGAAACCGGATTAGCTAAAGATTTGGATACAATTGACAATAAATATAGAAGCTTACATAATGATTTTATTAACGTCGATAATAAGTTAAAGGAGACGCAAGCTCGTAACGCGGAACTCGAGAAAACTGTTCGGGACAATAAATACAACAGCGAGCACAAAGTAATAGAATTAAACAAAAAAACGGAAATTTTGGAGAAAGAGAAGGAAAGAATACTTTCAGAGAACTGTAGAAAGATTAAGGTAATATTGTTTTTCAAACTAAAGTAATGGATTCTTGTGATATAAATGTAATCGTTTCATTATAAACAGGATCTAGAGAGCTCGCGTAAATTGTTACAAGAGAAATACGAAACGGAGATAATAACTTTAAAGACAGACTCTGAAGCGAAATTATCTGAACTGAAAAAAACTCTGGCCACCCGAAATTCTGCTTTCGAAAAGTTGAATGTTAATTTAAATAAAATAAGCGAAGAAGTTAAAAGGTTGAGAAAGACCGAGGCAAAAGAAAATCAGGTCAATTTGAACGAAACAGCGGAATCAAATAAAGCGCATAACTTAACAAATCAATCAAAGAGAAAAGAGTACCATATGGAAGATGAAGAAATTATCGGTTCACCAAAGATTACATCTAACGATAAAAATGAAACGGTGCATCAGAAAAAACAGGATGTATATAGTTTTACCACTAAAGATGGTGATAACAAATTAGATACAGTAAGTTATAAGATGCATGCATATGTAAAATTTTACTTTATTTAATTAGAGCTGATATTCAATTATAGATATGGTCATCTATGAGACAAGAAAAAAGAATCAAGTTTGACATCAATTCGTCCACTAAGGTACAGTTGTTAAATAATAAGTTATATAAATGTTACTTTCATTCATAGTTTTAATAACGTTAACAATAAACGTCGATTGATAGATTTCTGATTACACAGAAAGTGTTCCTTGTTTTTTTCAGGATAAGAGTCTAACACAACAAAATATAGAATCTCAAAGATATGAAGAAGAAGACGAGGTATTTCTGCCAGATATACTATATGTTTTTATATTGTCTACTTAAGCCCAAAATTGTATTTAATTGCACGATATTTCCGTAATTCTCTACAAATAGGATTCTAGCAGCAAATCACAGCCTAAAAAGATCTTCAAAACGCGTGGTACTGGATTAAGGCAATACAACACCGCAAGGAAAACATTGCGGAAGTAATATTGCCTCTTTTAAATACTTAAACCTGCGTTTTTCAATTTTTGTTTCTTACATTACGATAAACGTCAAGTCGAAGATTTTTTAAGTACACTATGTGCAAATACAACATTTTATTTAAACAATTGTATCAATCGATCCTTAAATAATAACATTCTTTAATATTAGATAACAAACGTATGTAACCATACATTATCACCAATAGAACATATGTAACCAGCTTTCAAAACGTTACATATGTGTAACTCTCATGTTAGTACCCTGTGATACTATAATATTTAAAAAATTATGTATTACATACATAATACAGTGTTTCCTGTTCGTATTTAAGTTTTAAGTGAACTATTTCATTTACATACTAAAGTATGTTATTCGTTGTCACAGGTATGTACACCTACCAGGAAACTCGGCTTCCACTAGGGGAAAAAGTGGCGTAGTAACATTCGATTTAACATTTATTTCAGTACTTGAAATAAATTTACCAAGTTGTAGGAGGCCCTTACTCTTACGTCACTTTTTGCAGTAGCGGAAGTCGAGTTTGCTCGCGAGGGTACGTATCATGCAACAGAGATTCGGCTGCCACTTGTATTCATTACACTTGCATTCGTTTTAACTTCAATTATTTGTCAAAGGAAGAGGAAGAAGTATCCCACTTCATTGATCTTTCTATAGCCATCTTCCATTTAGAATACCTTAAGTCTCGTTCTGAAACACAAATGTATATTAGGTATTCCTATGCCAGTTTTACACTATCGCATCGTTTAATGAAATACTACCATTTTCGCCAATGGCAGGCATGAACTTTGTAACCTGTGATGCATCGACATCGTTGATATCGATGATACCGACACCAACACCAGCTAGTATGGCTGCGCCTAACGCGGTTGTTTCTACCATGTTGGGTCTCACTAATAAAGTTAAATTTATATGTTGTAAACTAAAACAACTGGACAGTTTATGACTGTAAATCGCATAATGCGAAATAAAGTTTCACGCACCAACATTAATTCCAGTAAGATCAGACTGCAGCTGCATGAGTAAATTATTCACAGTCATGCCACCGTCAACGAGTAGCGTTGTTAATTTCGTTCCGGAATCTTTCACCATGGCTTCCAAAATGTCTCTTGTCTGGAAACAGACAGCTTCCAAAGCTGCCCTTACAATATGATAGTGTTGGGTATCTTCGGTGATACCACAAATTGTCCTGATAAATATTCATAGGGAACGGTTTTAGCATGTGATATACGGTGAAAGAAATTACACTTTGATTATATTCAGTTACCCTCGTGCGTCTTGCTGCCAGTACGGCGCATATAAGCCAGAAAATGCAGGAACAAAATACACGTCCCCCGAGTTCTTTACGCTCTCTGCCATCTCTTGACACTGTGAAATGTTACTATAGAGTTGTATGTTATCTCGCAACCAGGATAATGCTGCCCCTGCTACTGCGACAGAGCCTTCTAATGCGTAAATGGCTGGCGATTTACCCAATTTGTACGCAATAGTTGTTATAAGGCCTTGATGGGAATCGACTTTCTAAAATTTTTCTTTATTTCTTAATTATGTTTAAAATATAATTAAAAACCGTGTATACGTACAACGTTACCAGTATTGTACAGCAAGAAACAACCAGTTCCATAAGTAGCTTTTGCTTGTCCAGGCTTTAAACACAACTGACCAAGTAGGGCTCCCTGTTGGTCACCTACACACTGCACGTAGAAAAAGTGAATTTCATTGAAATAACTATAGATCGATATTAGCCAGTAAAAATGTTCAGATTCTTACCCCAGCTATTGGTACTCCAGTGAGAATTTCAGGATTCAAAACTGTCCCATATACTTCGGCACTAGATCTTATTTCAGGAAGAATGTGTTGCGGAATTCCAAAAAATCGACACAACAAAGGATCCCATTTTAAAGATTCGATATTCATTAGCATGGTTCGGGATGCATTTGAAACATCCGTCACATGTAACTGTCCTTTCATCAGATTCTACAGAATGGAAAAAGAATAACAAATAATAAAACATAATTGTCATAATTATGTGATACGTATACCGATAAAAATAAACTGTTGGCACACCCAAATAATCCATGTATCTACTGTTCCAAAAGCACATTTCTCTGCATCTACTGCCTGTTTGACACGTGGTACATTGTCAATAAGCCAACGTATCTTAAGAGCACTAAAATATGGTGACATTGGAAGTCCACAGAGTGGTTTTAGATAATTTTTGTTCCTTGTTTTATTCGGTATACTATCCAATATATCTTCTAATGTTGTAGTTGTTCTCATATCATGCCAGACTGTAATATTAACATTTAGTATTATTACTAAGTTTAATTGAAGAACATAGATTGTGATACAACAACATTCAAACACATAAATCATACTTTACCAATTGCATTATGCAATGGTTCTCCTGTTTCCTTATCCCACACTAAAGTAGTTTCTCGTTGGTTGGTGATCCCGATTGCCTTTATATCTGAAGTGCTTAAACCAATATTGCTTAATTTCTCCATTGTCTTTTTTATACAGTTTAGAACAGCCTGTAAAATCTCCTTTGGATCCTGTTCTACCCATCCTTCTTGTGGATACTTCTGTGTAATTTCAATTTGATGTGATGCTATCACTTTTCTAGATAATACATTGAATACCTGAAATATAACACAGAATCAATACATACTGTGTCTCAATTTTCATTGATATTTCATAAAAATATACCACTGATTTCACTAACAAAAACAAAATCATGTTGATTGTCTTATTTTACAAATTGGCTAACATTATGATGGAAAGATTAAAGATAAAGGTTGGTTATTTAAAAAAAACGTAAGATTGTAAAATGGAAAAAACTGTTTGCCAGAAGTGAGAAACGATGTTTGGTGTACTATGTGATAGAACATATCATAAAAGTAAACATGATCGTTTAACTGTATTGCGGGAAAAGTTTAAGTTCCATTCTGATATTTTTTCCGGTCATTTGTTATTTTCGTCATATTCGAATTTGTAAACACGAGAAGGAAAAGAATACTCGCTTACCAAAAATCGAGCGCTACTCGTTCCCTCGTCTATCGCCCCAATAAACGGTCCAGAACGATCAATGTTCTCTGGCATATTTTTCTCGGTATTTTCGGCTTAATAACTGAGAAAGCACTCAAGAATATTTAAAAGATGACCCACACTTAACCTTCGTTTTAACTTGTTATATAATCCTGCACATTAAATATAAAATCTGATCAGTGATAACAGCGCATATCAGGAACCCGAAATTGGAACGTATTTGAAAAATACAACACAACGTGCCCCTTTTTCTCAACTCGTCGCTTCAATGATCGTTTTTTGACTTCATTTTTTTCTATTCTCAATAAACTTCACAATATGATAGATGAGTAATAATAAAAAGACCTTTTTGTAAATTCGTTTTTTTAAAGAAATTCCGTATTCAATGGATCATGTTTTCAAACAGACATTTAGCACCTAAGAAAAAGTAGGTTCACGTGGCAAATGATCTTTATCTTTTATTGGATAATAAACGTGTATATAGTAAAATTTGATTAAAGTTATCTATTTTATATATCTTCTTATATAAAATTTATACAAGACATTTTTTAATTGTTTATTGATCGAAGTAAACGTTTTTATTCGTATGCCTGGTGTTTTTATACTTGTACATGTAATGTATATTGATCGCGATATTATATAGAACCTTTTGAACAGATCAAACTGTAGTTTTATTATGAGAATAAATAAATATTAGAAACCAATTCCTCATCAAGACCTCATAAATCAGATAACATAGAAACCACTCGTCTCTAAAAAGAAATACAACAAAATATGGCCCAGGACCAAAAGAACAAAAATGCATACATATAGTATGTTTACCAACCAATACCCAATACGACATGAGCAGAAAAGAAAAAATTATTATGTGTCGATTCAGAATTGGCCATACAGATTATTTCATGCTGAATATTTCTGATAAAAATTCATATTATCAGCTCTGATATTATCTATCAGATTAAATATGGATTTGAAGTAAATGAAACACGTGACTTAAACATGAACGTAGTGATATTAAGTTGTATTGGGTGCAGTTGTTATAAGAAAGTGGATAATGGAATTCATTAACAATTCTTTTTCCACGTAACATTGATGGTATAGTGAAATGAACCAATGAGTACAGCATTCACTCCATATTATTTGATATAATTATGTCCGACAGTTTACGTAGTGTGATCATATGTAGAGAAATAGTCAAAATGCGAGTGCAAACTCTCCCTAATGCTTGCGCGTGGTTATTCAATGGTCACTTCTGGTCACTTCTCATGTTCCCCCACGAACAAACTCGGCTTCGGCTAGAGGAAAAAGTGACGTAGGAGAAAAGTCTGTTACCACTTACTAAATTTATGACAAGTTCGGAAATAAATGTTAATTTGGCATAAATTTCAGTAATTCTCAATACCAAGTGGTAGAAGCAGGTAGGAAAGATCGACAGTGTTCTTTGAACTTTAAGGTTGGCAATGAAAACGCCTTCAGATATCCCTAAATTATAGTAACTTTCTGCAGTCGAAAAGTATTTATCTCATTTCACTTTGCGTTACCGGTAAGGAAAGACGTACGTTCGTGCGAAAAAGTGAACGATTATTTGTTCGATCTTGTAATTGAATTAGATTAAATAGTGATCAGTGGCTAATACATTTGGATTTTTACATGTTTCAGGCAAACCACCATTAAACTGGCTTCGTAATAGACGGTTATTACTTGGCCGGATTTCTTTATTACGGTAGAGTGAGTATGGCTTCCTGATACGTCGTATGTGTCCCATATGAATATATATTTCTCTCTTTCCCACGAGTGATTTTTCCACCGTTCGAAAAATTCACGAGAACCATTTCTCCGATACATGCAACGTGTGCATGGGTATCATTTTCGAAAGAGGTTAGCGATCTTGTGACGTGTCAAGTGAATACTTCATTCCATATGGTGGTCACTGGCTGAATCAGTCGCTGGTCATTGACATGCTGGCATTTAACTTGAATCTTCTGTTGCCGTTTCCCATTTAGAATAATTATTGTCGCGAGTCTGTATACAACACCAGAGACTTTAGCTGATTCTGCGTTGAGTATGGAAATCGTTGATCGAACGTTTACGTAAAATGAATCTCGTTAAAAGGTGTTATACCGCAACCTATAGGCATGATTATTGATTCCCTTTAGAATTTTTCGTGTACGTCGTTTATCTTTTCGTAATTTTTCGATTTTTAAATTATATTTCGACACCTTTTGATTTTTATTCACGGACCTAACGTTCCATTGATAATGAAATTACAGAACATTGAAGTATACTTCGAATTTTTTATTTCCCGTAAAATATACGATATAAGGATGAACATTTTTGAAAAATATTATACAATAAAATAGTTTAGTCTCTGGATTTTATTTTTTTGCTGTCTAAATGTATACTATTAAATTTATATGGATCACAATTTAAAAGTCACCGGCACTAATCAGTAGTATTTATGCAGTTATATGTGTATAGTTACAAAGATATTTTTAATACGACTTAAATTTTTGTATTACAGTGCTACTGTAAGGACTTGGCACGAAACAGGATAATCCCACCATGCAGCAGCAGTCAGTAATGGAAGAGGGAACGGCCTATGAGCCACCTACCTATGATGAGACATTCCCAGTACTTCCTGAGTCAGCTAGTTCAAGTTCAGGGAAATTTAATATTTTCTCCATAAATAATAATCTACAACTAGGACGCATAACAATCACCCAGGTATAAATTGAAGTTTCAAGATGCATATAAACCAACTATTTTTTTTTTGTTATTGATGACTATATAATGTTTTTTTAAATTTGTTTAGATATTTCGTGTACCTGGGGAGGAACGCAAATTCGATCATAGCGACAAGTTTGGTGAACGTGAATCTATTCGTACATGTAAAACAATAATGAAAGAGACAAATACAATCATTGAGATAGCATCATCGAAGGATCAATCTCTTACATTCCTCATAACTGGCAAGCAGAATCAGGTTTTGGAAGCAAAACGTCGAATTTTAACGACTTTTCAGACTCAGGTTTGATTCAAGTAACTTCAATAACACATACTGATGTTCTCTGCTTTCTTATTAACTGCTATTAATTATTGTAGGCAAGTAAACAAATTAGCATTCCTAAGGACCACCACCGTTGGATTCTTGGAAAGCAGGGGCAGCGTCTTAAAGATTTAGAGAAGACGACTGCAACCAAGATAAATGTTCCGCCTGTGCAAGATCAGTCAGACATAATAACAATTACAGGAACGAAAGAGGGAATAGAGAAAGCTGAACACGAGATTAAAATCATTTCAGACGAACAGGTAAGCAGACATGTGTTAGTTATTGGATCAAAGTGTGACTTATTAAGGAGATAATATGGATATCGTTGTATGTTGCAGTCAAGAAAGGCGTTCGAGCGAATATCGGTGCCAAAAATATATCATCCGTTTATACACGGGGCGAATAACGAGAATCTTAATGCCATGATGGCAAAAACTGGAGTTCGAATTAATATTCCTCCTACTTCTGTGCAGGAAGATGATATTACTATTGCTGGTGAAAAAGAAGGGGTTCTAACAGCAAAACAAACAATTGAAGCAATCTACAGAGACATGGTAAGAAATAGGTTTAAATCGCTTTTGAAAGAATTTTTTTCTATAATTCAAGATCAACGTTCCATTCGATATTTAGGAGAAAAGATGCACTACAGTGTCCGTCGAAGTACCGAAGTCACAGCACAAGTATGTTATTGGCCCGCGTGGTACTACAATAGCGGAGATATTGCAAGTGACTGGTGTAAGCGTCGAAATGCCTGCAACGGATTCACCCACGGGTACTATTACTCTTCGAGGACCTCAAGAAAAACTTGGTCAAGGTAATCCCCGATTTGCATGTTTTCCAATCATAGTAGTGGTATACGAATAATGTATTAATATGAATATTCAAACTGTAGCATTGAATAAAGTGTACGAAAAGGCGAACAGCGTTCGTACAGCTGTCGTAAAGGCACCTGTTTGGATTCATAAATACATAATAGGAAGGAAAGGCGTAAATATTAAACGTATAACGCAAGAAATGCCAAAAGTGAATGTGGAATTTACCGGCAAGGAAGACAAAATTAAAATTGAGGGTCCACCGGAAGAAGTAGAGAAAGCACAAAACGAGCTCCAATTGATGGCTAGTGATCTAATATCGAAGCTCACTTTCACAGAATTAAATGTCGATCCTAGATTTTATAAACATATTATTGGAAAAAACGGATGCAATGGTAAGGTTCTCGTATTAAAGACTATTCAGTCGGAGTAACTGTGTAAGATACGATATCATGTACAATTATCTTTTTCAGTGAACCGGGTAAAAGAAGGAACGGGTGTTGTTATTAATATTTCGGAGAATGATGGTAGCAATATTATCCGTATTGAAGGGAATCTTGCGGGTGTAATGAAAGCTCAAACGGTTTGTAATGTTTATTTATTTTCTATTAGAAACGCTATGTGATCTTAACTATATATTTTAATTTGTTATAGGAGTTAGTAGAGATGGTAAAGAAATTGGAGAATGAAAAAGAAAAAGATGTGATTATAGATCACCGTTATTATCCTAGTATTATCGGAAATAAAGGGGATAATATTAAAGAAATCCGAGATAAGTTTAATCAAGTACAGATTACTATTCCTGGCCCAGGTATGTAGCGTGATATATGCAATAACTAGAACTCGGATTTATGCCAGGCGCAAACATTTGAAAGGCCTCGGTCCTTGTTGGCGCTTGGCCAATCAGAGCTCTCTGTGTGCATTTTTAGAGTGCAGGTCGCGTTTCTTATTCCGTATTGTTATATAGTTTCATTCCCATAAATTACATATAAATGCACAACTCGAAAAATTGACGAATCGTTACACAGAGCGGACAAGCAAATATTTCGAACGTCTGCTTATGTTGTATGAAATTATTTCTAGGCGAGAAGGGAGACATAGTAAAAATTAGAGGGCCTAAGGAAGATGTAGATAAGTGCCATAAATATTTAATGAAGTTGGTGAAAGAATTGAACGAGAGTAACTATGTGCTAGAGGTACCTATTTTTAAACAATTCCACAAATTTGTTATTGGAAAAGGTGGAGTAAATATTCGTAAGGTTAGTGTTCCGAAACGGTACGATTATTTTATTGTAGCTGTATAAATCGCCGGTTAATCTTCCTTTGACCATTTATAGATTAGGGAAGAAACGCAAACAAAAATCGATTTACCTGCTGAAGGCGAGAAAAGTGACGTTATAACGATTACAGGGAAGAAAGAGAATGTGGAGAAAGCTAAAGAAATGATTCAAAAAATACAGAATGAATTGGTAATTTAATTCTTATATGTTTTTAGAACAAGTATTATTCGGGGCAACGTTGATAGTGAATCATCTTAAATAGTGTATATTGAATTACTTTCATTTTTTATTAGGCTAATATTATTACGGATGAGATAGTAATTCCGCCAAAGTTTTATAATTCTCTTATTGGCACTGGTGGAAAATTGATTCATTCTATCATGGAGGATTGCGGTGGTGTTGCAATTAAGTTCCCTACCGCGGAAAGTCGAAGCGATAAGGTGAGTACCTTTCTGATAATCATGCACGCAGTATTTTCTAAATACTGGAATGAAAATTATCGATATGCTTTATTTAGGTAACTATTAGGGGGCCAAAAGAAGACGTCGAAAAGGCAAAGCAACAGTTGTTGGAACTTACAAATGAAAAGCAATTGTCTAGTTACTCGGCTGAAGTTCGTGCCAAAGTACAACATCACAAATTCCTAATTGGGAAAAATGGTGCCAATATTAGAAAGGTATCCAACTGAATCGATGGATTATGATGTTGTGTAAGCATTGGTACGATTACATATTAATGACGTATTTACTGTTCTTAGATAAGAGAATCGACTGGAGCACGTATTATATTCCCAACAGACGAAGATCAAGATAAAGAAGTAATTACTATTTTGGGAAAGAAGGAGGCTGTTGAGAAAGCAAAAGCTGAATTAGAAGATACAATCGAAGAAATTGTAAGAATATTTACTACGTATACTATAATTTATAAAAAAACGATTATAGAAAATACTACATTTCTGAGTATTATAAGAATTTACTCATTCAAAAGAACAGATACGGAAATGGTTCATTTCTAAACTTTCTATTTGAACAGTAAATCAATATTTCTTTTTTTTATTCTACAGAATAATATTACCGAACGTGAAATCCGTATCGACCCGAAGCATCACCGACATTTCGTAGCACGTAGAGGTGGGGTGTTGCATCGTATCGCAGACGAGTGTGGAGGAGTACAAATTTCATTCCCGAGGGCAGGCGTTGACAGCGACCGCGTAATTTTGAAAGGGTCAAACGAATGCATAGAGGCCGCGAAGCAACGAATGCGAGAAATTGTGCAAGAATTGGTAACATTCTTTAATTTCTATTAGCATGATTTTTCAGTGGACCTTGTATCTACGATCTTGTGCTATATTTTGTAGGAGTCAATGGTAACCGAGGAATGTATAATACCTCAAAAGCATCATCGTACCGTCATGGGGGCAAAAGGGCGTAAAGTACAACAGATCACTTCCGAATATGATGTACAAATCAAATTCCCAGATCGCGATACATACGGTTAGTACACGTAACTTCGTGTGATTGCCACTGCATGTAAAGTTAGTTTAAAATGTGCCCACAATTTTTGTGCGTTTATTTTCCATTACGTGCCCTTGTCTTATATATAGGGTGTTAATGCAAATGTAGGACGTTTTTATAAAATAATTGGAAAATTTTTGCCCGAGCACTTTCGGAAATAAGAATTTGCGTGTAACTATAAAATGAAGACAGTTCATACGTGCACATGAATTTTCATGGTTATTTTAACGTCTACAATCCACTCTATGAGGATATCCTAGATTTTTATTAACGCCCTGTATGTTGTATTTCTATAACAAATAAAATACTATCATACTAATACAATGCATTGTAGATGACCAACGCGAAGCAAAACAAATGAATGGTGAAAATGGAGAAGTTGCGGACACAGTTCCAGCTTGTGATATTATTCGCATTACAGGACAACCGGAAAATGTTGCAGCTGCTAAACAAGCGCTGCTCGACTTAGTACCAATCACGATAGAGGTCAACCTACTATTCAATTTTTAGACAATAGAATGATTGAATGATACTTAACCTTCGACTGCGACCTACGTTTACAAGCATTTAACGAAAATTCTCACTCGCTGCATATAAAAAATTGAATTCTTTCATTGCAGGTAGAAGTACCGTTCGATTTGCATCGTTCTATAATAGGACAGAAAGGTCGTGACGTACGAGAATTAATGTACGTGCATGATGTTCATATCATGTTATCTCCAGCGGAAGAAAAACTTGATTATATCAAGGTATACAAGCTGTCGCATTACATTATGACAGTTATTCACTCTTTACTTATTCACTGCCAGAATATGATATATTCTGTTCTGTTTATTAGATTTCTGGCACACCTGCATGCGTTGAAAATGCAAAGCAGGCTATTCTAGAAAAGTGCAAAGCATTGGAGGCTGAACGACAAGATAGGGCACTGAAATCATTCGAATTAAAGGTACCGTTTGCTTGTTACTGCATATAATTTGTTATAAGAGTCGCATGAAAAAAATATATTTTCTGCGTAAACGTCGGTAGTAGCGACGAATTTGATCTCTTGTCTTTGTTGTGATTATTATTTCATTATTGCTAGATACATAGTTAAATTATTAAATTTAATGTGAATTTAAAACATTGTTTGCAATGATTCTAAAGCCATTTTGTATGGAAAATATAGTGGATAATACGACCGTGAATATTATTTAAAAACACCTATAAAAAAGGACATCGTGGCTTTCTTGATGCAGAGGCGCGGATATCTGGATGTTAAAAGAGTAACATTTAAGTTTGTCTTCCTCTAGCTCGAAGTTAATCCAGAGTACCATCCAAAAATAATTGGACGAAAGGGAGCCGTAATTAATAAAATACGGAGCGATCATGACGTACAAATCAATTTTCCACGGAAAGGTGATCCCGAGGAACATATCATTACAATCACTGGTTATGAGAAGAATGCTTACAGCGCGCGGGATGATATTATGAAAATCGTTAATGAATTAGTAAGTTTAAACATTCGTATAATCTCAACTTCAAAGGGTACAATTGTCATTGATAAAGTAATATCGTTTCTTTCTCTCTTTTTGTTTTCCAATCGTATAGAACGGCTTGACAAAGGAGAAGGTAGACATAGATTTTCGTGTGCACGCGCACTTGATTGGCTCAAAAGGTAGAAATATTCGTAAGATCATGGATGAATTCACAGTTGATATTAAATTCCCTCGAAGAACCGACCCCGATAAAAATCTCGTAACGATCGTGGGTACGGAAGACAACGTAGCCGACGCGAAAGATCGTTTATTAAATTTAGCTGAAGAATATGTAAGTATTGAACATCATCACAACCATCCAAGGGCAGTGCAAACAATAATTACAAATACTGGATTCTTCAAAGATTCAGGATGTTTCAGAAACAGAGTCTTCTCATATTTGGATGCAATCTGGTGGTGCTGGTACTAATCAGGACGCTTCGACAGGGTTTGTTGTTGTCGGTGGTCCATGGGAGCAGCAACCACAGAGCGCTCCAAATACCGCCAGTGTAGAGGAATTTCCTCAATTTGCTGGTTACTCTCATGTACCTGTGACAAACCCCGACGGTCCTTGGGGCGTTAAACGTTAAACAAAGTAAAGCGAATGCAAAAAAAAACAAACAAAAAAAATCGATGAATTATAAGGTAACAACCGCATAATAACTTTCCTCTGACAAAACAATATGAAAGGGTACGCGCATTAAGTGCTGAGTGGTTCCCTGTTTCATTACTGATGTTGCTGCATACGACCTGGCCACTCTATTGGACTCTGACACTGGTTTACTACATAATGTTTGACGATGGTGTTTATATTTACAGTTCATATACCAATATCCGAATGTATCTGTAACTGTAACGCATGATATTTTAAGTTTATTGCCATGTAGGAACATAATACAAAAACCGCGCGCTATCCACATACACGGAAAACGGCAGATACATATACACACAGTTAGATGCAAAATGTTGGCCAATTGTATTCATAACGGAAACATCTAATTTTACATTTTACTTCGGCTGATATGCCTTTCAGGTACAGATATGTTGTACTTAAGACTGTGGCTTCGTAGGAACGAATAATGTTCTATTGCCCATTACATATGCAGTGTGTTCAGTAAGTTATGGTGCATTCGAGAAGCGAAAGATTCTACGTACGAAAACACACACGGTAAATGTAAAATTAAATTACGCTATAGGAGTCATCATTTGCAAACTGTGCACTTGAACACCATTTAACACACACCAAGCCTGTCACATTCAAGAGTAGGACATCCAGAGAAATTTTTTTTTTTCGGTTGTGCTACGATTTACCGGACATCCTGTATATATATTTCTCAGATTGTCTCTATCCTGTGTAGATTGCGTGGCTAAACGTTTCAGCGTTTAACCGGGCATAATGTTTTTTTTTTGTTAATTTATTTATATTTTTTTTGTACATAAATTGCATTTTCTTTCGTTTTTGTTGTGTTGGACTTCAGTGGAATGGATTTTGAACCACGTCACTATATTAGAATTCTATACACGGAACCGTGTGTGAAACGTGAAGCTTTAAGGTCTTTCTAAGGAAAACGTTCCTAGATATACAGAGTGCCCCATGTAACTGAAAGCCGTGGAATATTTCCTATGAAATTGAAGATACGAAAACATTCTTATCCAAGTTGTTTGGTATAGAGGGAGGCATCGTATAGTGTAAATATTTTTGTATGTATGACAACTTAGTGGAGATTTTAAGATCAATTTAATTTTCTTTTTAAAAAAAGAAAATTAAGTTTACCTTGAAATCATCTCTACGGTATGATATATAAAAGAAATATTTTCACTGCCTAATATATTCCTCCGTACCAAGCAGTTTTCATAAGAACAATTTTTTCATATCTTCAATGGTGTACGAAATATTCTATCGTTTCCAGTTAAACGGGACACCCTGTATAATTTCCTGCTGTTTTAAGTAGTTAGTATAAATGAAATAAAATAAGGTTGCTTCATATACCAGAAACCATCGGTAGCGCTATGAAGCGAACCAAATTGCCAACAAACTATTAAGCAATCATCGTATATTATCGAAGGGTGGAATTTAAGAGTAGAGGAAATGTTTTTAGCGACGATGAGTGAATATATGTTTTGAGGAACATAATCTTTAGAAGGCCTTGATATTTTTCTACACCGTTGCACCATTGGCATCATTTATAAGACAGAGATTCACGAATATTTGTAATTTAAAGGCGATTCTTTATTTATTCTCTTGTATTTTACTATTTGCTGTATAATGTGCAATATTTGCATTCGACTATTTATGAGGCCAACTAGCTAAGAAAAAGATATTCGGTTCAAGTGCCTCGTCTAGTTTCTTCAGGACAGCTCATTTCAATTGTTGGAGGAATGTGAATATTAGATTATATATATATATATATACAAACATAAACATATATAAATATCGATAATAATTATATTATTATACACATATACATATATATATATATAATCCATATAATAAATATTGTACTAGAATGTACAATAATATACTACTATCACGAAAATGAAGTAATAGATCATGTATACAGAAATTCACTTATATTTTTTAGATTTACAATAATTTTTATAAAACTACTTGGTACGACGACCTACATGTCATCTCCAATGCATGGTTTATACAAAAATGCCAGAATTAGCGATCTTTAAATATGTTTAGTTTTGGCTAAGAATTTGATAGACGCTGTGCATGAATTGTACCTTTTCTAATAAATTATAAATACGAAATATTGTAATTATAAAATAATAATATTCTCTGTACACATAATGTCATAGTACATGAAATCTATTGTAACAATATATATACATAATTAATCTATTGTTAAAACTGTGTTTTCCTTTTATCTAGTACTTTTTGACGGACACCTTAATCCTCGGACAACCGACGGTCTAATGGCCGAGCGGTAGCGGCAAAAAAAAAAAAATTGTTATTTTATTAGTTCGACATTTTCAAATGAAAAGGACGAACAAATTTCTGTTTTTAATGAGTTTTACTCTTACACCAAATTGAACTGATGGTGGATCATTCGATAGCTTACCAAGAAAAAATCTGTACCAATTAAAATTTGTTATTGTTATCTGAAACTTGGACATTTGTAAAGCCATATTTTTTTCGATAAATTACACAGTTATTCAATTATTAAAAATGACACATTAAAATATAAATATGTTAATACACGTGTACCCATGTATGCATTTCAATACGCGTGAATTAGACAGTGTATAGTGTATATGGAACTTAATGTTAAACAGTGTTAAACTTTAAACAAATGACATCAAAAAAACAAAAATTGACGAAGTATGAAGATCATGCATAATAACTTCCCCGTGACGAAGAATATAGAAAAGTACGCGCCACGCTGTTTCCCTCTTTCCTTACTGATGTTGTATATGACGTGACCCTTGTATGGGATACTAATAATTTGGCTGTGTACAAATTGTAGCTTGCCTAATAAATTACAAAATAATATTCTCTGTACATATAATGTCATAGTACATGAAATCTACTGTTAAAACAATGGTTGTTTTTTGTTTAGCACTTTCTGATGTAAGCATTAAAATAATTCAAGTATTTACATATTCATTTTTTACCGTCGATATTATGTGGTACGTGTAATGTTTGTAATTGCCGAATAAATCCCTCGTTTGGCTTGATACAATTTCTAACAGCTCTCACTTTATTATAAGCATGGTCAAAGGACAATCCTTCGGAAATCATCAAGTAAGAAATAACGATTGTTGGCGAACGAGATACACCAGCATTGCAATGTATAAGAATATTTTCACCGCGATTTTCTCCTATGATTTTTATGCATTTTTTTATTGATTCGGATATATCAGACTCCGGTAAATCTAACAAGTCACAGTGATAATACTTGATACTGTCAAACTTCACTGGTGTATCAATACCAATACTCAAAATATTACGAATACTATGTTCTTGTAAAATGTCAAAATTTACAACTGGATCTTGTGAGCTTAGAAACAATCCTGGAATTATATGTGCAACCTGTAAATCAGGCTTATTATCTACAACAAATGGTGTTACAGATGCCAATTTCTTTTTTTCTCCTTCACCTTCCTCATATCGTTCGCCAAGCATATTCGTCACTATAGTTTTACACGATTTCAAACCTGATTTTTTATTTCTTATTAGATTCTCTAGATCCATTGTTAACGATATTTGGGTAAAGTCTACTTACCAGAATTCAGAATGAAATCATGACTTTTTAATATCTTGTGAACGTGTATTACATTTAATTTCAACCTACTGGTACAACTGTTGCCCTATTAGGGGATTGTAATTTGTATTTAATACTGTAGTTATCTATGTCTTCTTGAGAGTACTCTATATTTGCCAAGTATAAACCCCATGGTGGAACTACATGTAGATGAGGATTCCAATTATGATGGCCAGGAACTTGTAACATACAGGTTATTTCCTTTTCTGTGAGATTCCCAATGCTTAAGTTTAATAAAGCAGTTACTATGCGTCTGACCTGTAAACAATTTATTGGACTGTTTATATGTGCATTCAGAATAAAAATGTAAAATTATTATGAAACGCTTGTGGCTATATCTTGCAATAATATTGTTATAAATATTAGAGAATTAACAATATTATATTTTCTTCATTACTACATACCTGATTATATAAAAAAGACTTCGAGCTACATGTAATATTCCAAAATTCATAATTTTGTGACAATGGATCTAAAGGCATAAATGGTTGACCTTTTTCTATGGTCAACTTATTTAATTTCCTTACATAATTGATTGGATAAGGTGCATGACTTTTTCCAGAAAAACTTGTGAAATTTTTTATTCCCATAAAAAGTTGTGTTCCACGTTGTAATCTTTCTATATCAAAGGTTTCTGACCTGAAAACATGTACAAACGAAAAAAGTTAACAGTCTCTATAATACTGAACGTATACTCATTAAAAATTAGGAAGCAATACCTCAAATGGTAAGTATGTACTTTTTCAATTATTGGTATTCTGTGTTCATCGAGCTGCTTTGGAGTCATAAATCTATAAATGTAGGTTCTAGACCGTGCTACACGTCTGGCACTAAATTCGTCTGTTACAGGAATAAAGTCTAGAAGCCTTAAAAACATTCTTTTAGTTTATTAAATACAAATATGGACTGAGAAACATTATATTATCAAGTTATTAATTACCTGATATCATGATGACATTTCATTAAGTATCCATTTATCTGTCTAAGTACTTCTGAAGGATTGTACAAGCAGTTATAAGCATTGGACAGTCTAATATCAGCTGCATTACACAATGCATGTACACCAGCATCAGTTCTACAAATTATAAGATTTCATTTTAGAATTACTGGAGAAAATGATAATTCCTTAATGATTCATTGAAGAAAGCATCAGAAGAACTCCAATTTCTATCTTAGATTCAAGCCCAGAGAAATTTACCTGCTAGAAACGGATATCATTGGCAAATTAGTGCATTTTGGTATCAGTGTTGTAAAAGCATTTTCTATAGCTCCTTGTATGGTATCCACATCTCTTATTATATAGTCAGATTTAATTCCATTTCTTTGTAATCCCCTAAATTCAAATCAGTAAATGATTTCATTTTATTTGTTATTTTGAAAGCTTTGTGTTCAAGTACTAAATTTGAGTTTCAATAACCCGTGAATCAATTTTCTTATCAATATATATAATCTTATAATATATAAGTTGGACATGAAAATAATAAAGGCACGTGTTCGTTATTATACCTGTATTGCGTACCGATATAAGAAAATTTCATAAAGTATTTCTGCATATTTTCAACATTAAGAAGGATATATAGTAGAATTCTTAAGCCGGTGGAAATACTATTAAATTGTAATCGATTCACGTGTAATATGATAAACGTATTTATTTTTTTTCCTCTTGCGTCTGTAAACTGCTGTAACGGTTTCGGCTGCTCTGGCAATGTTTTATTATAATTAATGATAATAATTAAATTCTATAAAATTGTCGCGTTATAGTTTTCATTTCAGATAAATTAAAGAAGCTATGTAATGATATTGAAATGAAAAAATTAATGTATATATGATTACCATAGAATAGAAGAATATTTTCTTTTTATTGCGATTATGCAGAGTACTTAGTATCAGCTTTAATACTTATAATTAGTACTTAACATCAGAAAAAGTATATACACGAATTAAGTATATACATAAGCACGTACGAATTGTAGAAGTGAAACCACTGCGACACGATAACAGACGGAACACGCGACGGTTAAAGTGGCGTTTGAATAAATTACAACTTCAAATGCATTACTTCTAGTAAGATTGCAAACGTTATTACGATCCCCTGGAAATATGCAAACAGTTATTGTCCATTGAATGGCTATTAATTAAGCAAGAATTATTCGGGCAGCGTATGAAACAATTTGTTCTATGCTTTCCATTTATTTCTATTTGTCGAAGGCTACTCATTTGGCTGTACTGTCTCCTATCCTGAAACATCATGAATAATAAAACAATCAGAAATTATATTTCATAAGAAACTGCGCCACCAATAACAGATTAAATCGACCACTGCATAATTTATGAAATAACATGCACAATGAATCGATTTACTTTGCTCACGGAGACAGTTGGTTTCGTTAAGCCGTTTAGTCGACAAGCAATGTAAATTTTTCTTCGTAAATTTTCAAAAACTGAAGTTTTCATTTTCCATGAAAAATTCAATAACTTTGACTCCTTCTTTATTAACAAACGAAACGTTCACGCTCTACTATTGCGATGATTGTTATTTGATTTAGAACTATCAACAAAGATTTTTAATTTATACCACTTGTCGATTGGGTATCTCGATTATAGGTGTTATATGGAATGTGGAAACGACTGATCCGAGGGTGGAAAATTATCAAGCAGTACTTCAGTAACTGCGGGATCCACGGTGTCAGCTATCTCGTGGACGATCAGCTTTCGTATCCGGAAAGGTAACGTCCTGTGCAACAAAAATAAGAGTGTTTCATGAATTGTAACTTTCTTTGTCCCTTTTGATGGATGCGTATTCATGACTTTAACCTGCTTGCAGACTCTTTTGGCTGGTCTCCTGTATCGTGTGTTGGTACGGATGCACCATTATGATCAGAGACGTTGTAAGGGAGTACATCATGTATCCCATTGCCGTAACCGCGGAGACCATGTACCTCGATTGGGAGACACCTTTTCCCGCAGTAGTTTTTTGTATTTCCTCTACGAAGAAGATTAAGAGCAAATACTTCAGACGGTGTGTGTAACATGTTTCAAGCAGGGCCGAATTAAGACATGAAAATTTTCGTAGGAATCCTGCGGCGTTGACAAATTATTCTAATCCGAATCTGCTGCTGGCGACGTCGGAGGAGCTTCTATCCGCATACGAGGAGGCAAGCAATCATATCATTCCACTTTCATATCGTATTCACGAGCATTGCGATAATGTGTCGCTGTTGTTTGCCTTTCAAGTTATTTTCGAGCAAATTGTTCGCTACTCCGGAGCATTGTCTAATTTACGATTGCGACACGACATCTCGAGGTGTTTCATGATTTCTTTCCTCTTCCTTATATTTTATCTCTATCCTTTTTTTTCTTTACCGTAGATGAGGTTTCCTTGCACGGAATTGTTGGCCGAGTGTACGTGGAACAATATGAAGTTCAACTGTTGCGCCGAGTTCCAGGAATTGCGAAAAACAGGCGTCGGTTATTGTCTCGCTATGAACACGTATCAGTTGGGGGACAATAGCGTGCGGTACTTTGTCAACCGGACCGTGAAATACGGCGATCTCGTCATCGATGTTCATATGGCCTCGAAAACGAAGAATTATCTTCTCACCGAGTTCACGGTATTAATGTATCATCCACTTTGACCGATCGAACCATTTTCCTATCCGCCCCTTCCGGTTTCTTCTGACCCGGCAGTAGCGTTTTTATCATATCAATACAATCCGACCGGTATTTTTGGCTTCTTAAAAAATCGTAAAAACGTCTTAAAAATATGTCGAACAACGAACTACGACGACGCTGATTACATCTTACACTTGCCAGACAGAAATGCCGTCGAAAATACGCGGACTTAGCGTGTTTCTCGGATAGCTTCTTTAGTTCCCACGTCTCTTTTAGGCATAGATCATACAACACATTGTTACCTAGAATTAACTGATTATAACTGGATTATATACCCGTAGATCAATAAATCCATAGCACATGACGCCTCGAAGACGGCTTAAATGCGTCTTAGACCTAAAATAGCCGTAAAATGTACGTCTTCGAGGCGTCATGTGTTATCTGGGTTTGTAAAAACGAAAAGGGGGCGGGATAATTGTAGAAACCGTTCTTGAGAAAATCGTGGCCGTGATTTTAGGTGCATTTGCTCAACAATCTGCAGCTGCCGACGTTCAAGAATTTAGACAACGATGTGATACGTATGACGGCTGGGAAAACGAATCGCATTGAATTCACGATGGTAGACACGTTCAACGAGGCCGGCGTGGATAAAGTCGCGGTAGAGTACAGAGATTGTCGGTTCCAGCAAGAGAAACGGCCGAATAACATGTTCGACATATACAGCAGCGACGCGTGTTTTCTCGAGGTACGCAGTAGAGAACAGTGGTCGAAAAGAAAAAAAATGTTCCGCAATGTCCAACGCAGATGACACACTATTTTACGAGACGCGATTTCCTGTTTCTTGCAGACGGTTATAAATCGGATGATCGAATTCTGCGGATGCGTCAGTTTTTACTATTTCGTGCCGAACGGTGCCAGAGTCTGCAACGGAACCGAGATGACGTGTATAATCGCTAACAAGACGGAGATAACGTACCAATCGATGGGCCAACGTTGTCTACCGAACTGCGAAGGGACGTCGCTGACATTGTACGTTCTCGATCGAAAAATACATCGACTAATTTGTAACGATACTATACAACAGATAGAGTGACTAATTTGTAGATAATTGTCGGATCTACTTGTCAATCAGGGACTTAAACCGGTATTATGGCATAAAAGCTATACCGAAACCGATATATTACCGAAAACCGACATAAATACCGGTATTTTTTCGGTAGAAGTCCCTGTTGTCAACGTGTTCGATGTCCCGTATCGCCCCTCGTACGAATACTATCACAGACGAGATGTAAGAATAGACCTAACATGTAATTCAATTTTCTGTCCCATGCGTAGGGGGCGTCAGAAGCCTCCGTACCATGTTAGAATTCCATTCCTTGCTAGCGAAACCGGGGCAACAATGTATGTATGCATCGCTATATATGCAGTCACATAGACTGCTCAGCAGAGGTATAGTTGCTTCAAAGATATATCTTTGAAGCAGCTATAAGCTACTGATGACACATTCAGGGTCACGGTACTTAAACGACAAAGCAGGTGGCTTTCCTTTCTACCCTAGTAGCGAGACAATCACTCTGTAGAATTCATACATATAAAACACGGTGTTTCGATGTTCACAGAACTCGATGGGACCCGCACGACTACGAGTCCCCGGGTCGATCCTACTCGCGGTTTCATTTCGCACTGCTGTCTCATCCAACCGTGAGGTACCGGCGATACGTAGTCAACGATTTATTGGACGTTGCAGGTGAAAACTCACCCGTCAATAATATTTTCCGCCGTATGCCACGATCAAATTCGAGGATCTCAATAAGCTTTGTTAATTTACCATCGCGTGTTTGTCTGGTATGATAATTATACGCATTATCTTTCAGTTTCAGTCGGCAGCGCGATCGGTCTCTTTATGGGCGCCAGTATTTTGAGCATCTTCGAAATACCTTACTGGTTATTTATTCGCCGCGACAAGATAACGTAAAAAAAAAAAAAAAAAATCAAAACACCCCGTGTATTTCCGGCACCAACACGTGATCGGCGTAGTCATAGGTTGATTTACAACACCCAGCCTGGTTTTTAGATAAAGAAACGGCGGAAATGTAATCGCATGCGACCCGATAATTAACAAAAGGATGCGATAATGGACCTGTACGAATCACGCGTGCGTCTATCGATTGGGCTCGAGCCTCGTGAATCTTTCACGCTGCACGGGGGGAGGGAGCTTTTATCTTAGAGAAGATGTTTGTCGGCAAACATGCCAGAGGCGAAACAAGTGGAAAGACACCGAGACTAATAAGCAAATCGTAGATGCGTTTTAAAAGTACAGGTGTGTGTTAGTCGGCGCATATATAACGCGGGGATCATATAACTTGAACTCTGAGCTCCCTCCTCCGTCATGTCCAAGTCGAAACTGCAGCTTCCAATCCCGTCGGAACAATCGGATGGCAAAGTCGGTACGCGCGGGAACTCGCCCCAGAGTCTGTTAACATTCCAAGATGTTCAGAATGTGGCGAAACGGTCATTGGGTCGTGAAGTAGATGTGAAAAAGTTCGCCCTACGGCCGTACTCCAGTGGGACGCTCGGCTTTCTCGGGACCCATCTGAGGCTCACCGTGGAGGTTGAATCGAAAAGCGGTGGCACTGAGACGTTGTCCTTCTTCGTGAAAGGCGTGCCTTACGATGTGCCGGTTCAGGCTGAGTATGTAATCGACAGGTGTGTCTTTCTGAAAGAGAAGATATTCTACCGTGACATAGTCCCTGAATTTTACAAGGTATACAACAAGGAACCATGGTCGCCGACCTGTTACTTGGTCAAAGATCATCTGCTGATCTTCGAAGACCTGGGCGCTAAAGGTTACACCGTTAGCAACAAAGTGTTCACCAAAGAACGCGTTGTCGCCGGTTTGACCACTCTTGCACGGCTGCACGCGTCGTCTTTGTTGACGGAAGCGCGACTCGGTGTGTCCTTGAAGAAGCTGTACCCGCACGGTTTCGTGGAGAATTCCTTTTCCCAGACCGGCAAGTGCAGACAGTGGTTCAGCGTTGGTATCGACGCTATCGTCGGTGTCGCCGAACACATCGGCTTGGACGCCAGTTTGCTGCCAAATATCTGCGAAGAAGTGTTCTCTGGCATCGAGACGTCAGCCACGAAGCGAAACGTGGTCAGCCACGGTGATCTGTGGGGGAACAATTTGATGTACAGCAACGACGTACCGCCCAAGTGTTTGCTGGTAGACTTCCAATTGGTGAGGTACTGCCCTTTGGCGCACGATGTCGCCCAGTTTCTGTATCTCAGCGCCGATCGCAGTTTCCGGCTAGCTTGCGAAGAGAGTATGCTCAAGCATTATTACAGCGTGCTGTGCGACACGTTAAAAACGGCCAAGATCTCCGTGGATATTCCAGCTTGGTCCGAGGTGGTCGAGGGAATGGAAGAGCAGCGTTTGTGCGCCGCGATCACGGCAGCCACATTCTTCCAGACAGTGTTGCTGGACGAGCAAGTGGGCGCTGAGATCACGAACGATTCTGATACCTACAGTATCCATCAATTTGTTAGCAGAACTGAAATGATAATCAACACCATGAAGAGCACCCCCGAATACAATCGTAGATTAACAGAAATTGTCACCGAACTGGTGGAACTTAGTTTCCGTTTCGATGAGCTCCCGAAACCGTCGTAGGTCGCTGTTTTTCTTCTGTAAAATTCCGAACGAGACACGAGAGTAAGTCACACGCACGCGTACGTAACAATACTCACATTGTTCTCTTATCGACGAACAAAACCGTTATTCAGAAGTACCACAGCGCACCGTTTTTTATGCGTGTGAAATTTTTTTAACGTAAGTGTATTGTGTATATACTGTATTTGTCAGATACCGTGTAATAAATAGTGTACATAAAATATAATTATTGCCCTTCTTCGTTCTTATGCGTATTGTTCCATGAGAGAATTTAGCCGAATGATCTGTTTATATTATTCCTGTTTCTTATTGCCAATATTTCGTTTGAAAAAATTCATGAATTCAGTTTACAATGCTCTCTCTATCGAAGTCAAGGAAGAATGTTCGATAGAATATAAGTCGAGATCTTCTTTCCGTGTTGATCAATGTTCAATAGTCTCCATGTCGTCTTGGTCAGGAAGTATGGTACTCAGGAAGGTCCAATTTTGGTCGACCAGTTGCATATTCGTCTCGTCTGTATCATCGTTTTCAACAACACCAGAAGATTCCGGTTTCGTTGGTCGTGAAGATTCACTCTCGCTCTCTTCCGCTGATTCCTCTTCGTTGTTTACACGATCGTCCCTACAAGAACAGTAGAATATATTGCAATCAACGCTCCACACGAACTATAAAACGTGGTACACCCACGAGCAAACTCTGCTTCCACTAGGGAAAAAAGTGGCGTAAGAGAGAGGCCACCTACCACTTAGTAAATTTATTTCAAGTACTGAAATAAATGTTAAATCGAATGTTAATTTGGTATAAATTTCAATAATTCCCGATACTAAATTTTAGGTGGCCCTTTTCTAACGCCACTTTTTCCCCTAGTGGAAGCCGAGTTTGCTTGCGAGGGTACACGCAGCTATGCCTCAGGAAACTATTTAAGTGATATAGAACTTTCCTTGTCTTGGCTGCTAGATTACCTGTCGTACTTGTCAGCCGTTGATTGGGCCTTCGATGTCGATGACATCAATAGAGAGGCGATGAAAGATGCACAGAGCAGTTTCATGGGCGGCAAAGTGTGGGACGAGACGCTGAGGAGCTGAAACACGACGTTGTCATTGTTAATTTAAAGTGTAAATCGACTGTTGCAAGGCAGTGAACATGTACACGTTTCATTATTTCTTATGGGAAAATATTATTATAAAATAATATTTTCAAAACAATACGTAAATTAGGGTAAACCCACCAATGAATGAACACTTAAGAGATTTTGTTTGACATATTATTTGACAATAATATTAATAAATATTTGGCAACATGAAATTTAGATTCTGTGATATCTGTAGCATTTTTTTGCAATGTACAGCTTTTAATTTGGAAAAATAGGAAATGTGTAATTAAATTAAAAAGAAAAAATTCAAATCACACCAGTGAACGAACAATATTAGGTAAATGAACATTTCTAATTAGTGCACACAGTATGCAGTGTTTTTGTAAATAAATGTAATATTTTTAACTATCTTTAATTAATCTCAAAAGACAAATTTTTCATTGGTATGGAGTAATTGTAAGAATCCATTCGAAAACATGGTGATTTTATAGAATATTTCGGCCAGTGTATTTCGTCGACAGGAGAAATACGGAATGTCTATAGTTAGAAGAGACGCGCACGTATGACCGGTCTCGAAGTACGTTCACATTGCTCACCGCTTGTGACGCCTCGCCACACGGCCGATTAGTTAATTAGTTTTAAGGCTGACGCAGGCACACACCCCCGAACGCAAAATTTCTGCAATTCCTATAATCTTCTACTTCAGATCTAGGTTGACACGTCTCGTGCATCCCACACACGAATCTTCCGCGGTATACACCAGTTTACGCCAGAAAGTCACGACGATATAACAGCGCTGTTTCATCCCGGGCCGTCAGAGAAATAAGAAGAAACATTGCTCAGAATCATCCGAAACCGCTACAACGTGTTCCATTCCTCGTCGACCGTTTCTAATTACCTCGAAATTGCTTCGATCCCGGAGTTTCATTAATTCATACGAATTTACAAAACGATTGAACGCAATATAAAGCTGACCCTTGGATTCGTAAATTCTGCCCAATTCGAAAAAGTCCACGTCATTGCTCCAATTTACGAGAAACTATACACTGTTGCTTAAATGTTTGGGATCACTCACACAACTGTTCTTCCATACCTTTTTGTTTATTACTGTAATTGGAAGTGAAATACCATATCATATTCGATTCGGTTAACAATACGTTCGTATAGGTTAAACGATCTTTAATCTACACCGACGAGCAAAGTCGGCTTTCTCTAGGGGAAAAAGTGACGTAAAGAAAAGTCTCCTATCATTTAGCAAATTTATTTCAAGTACCGATATAACAGTTAAATCGTATGTTAACACTAGAACTACCACAGCAGTAAAAATGACTGGTTTTACAATTTCATTTTGAAATTCCTACTTCACGTTATACTTTTTTTTTCCGCAATGATGTGATGACTTTTGCAGCGATAACTAAAGGTGTAATATACTCTAAAAGTTAAATATTAATATCAGCAATCTAGAATTTCACTTTCGCTCGAAGGAAACGAATTTCATGTCTGTTTGTTGAAATTATTTTCATATCCTCACCACGAGTTTGACCCGATGTTATAAGGGTTAAAAACCGTCTGAAAAAGCATTCCATTCGCGAATATAGTCGTCAAGAGCATCGCGGGTATTTGCCCATGAAAACCAGCCAGCTTCGAACAAAACCGACGTGACCGAACCGCCGTTCGGTCGGACACGGTGAATACCATTTTATTAATAGGTAACGTAACAATCAGGGCAGTTCCCGGGGGAGATAAGACTTTGTTCGTAGCTCTGGCTCTCTCTCTCTCTCTCTCCCACTCCCCCAACAGGGAGGTTCGTGATGACCTGGTTTTGCCGGGAACACTATTGCGAACAATTCCGTAGCGAAAACCACGTCCGCCATTGTTGTACATGCTAACGAAATTGAATAAAGGGATAATAGACACCGTCGAAAGTTTCGATTCTTCGGCCGCCCCCGGGCGAAAGTTCGGCGTGGTATGTTAATCTCGGCGAAGTATCGAAAGTTTAATTAGAATCGAAGTTCCCACCCCGAGGCGCCCACGTCCTCTCGACACAGATTTCAACCGCCGCCATGTTTCGCGGGGAGGGAACGTAAATATGGCGGATGGGGTCGAAACTAACCAAGGTGAACCTGTTGCGAATTATGGAGGAATATACCAGCCAAAAGTATACATATGGGACCAGAGCTCGTGACTGATGCAACAGTGACTCCATTATTCGGTTACGATAGACAGTAACGTCTCGATGAGTGCGACGTACTCGAGTCCGCTTCGGAGCATTCATGGGAAGACACTCCAAGGCTTTCAGACCCTCATAAATTTGTTTTTTTTTTAGACGAAGTTAAGCCTTTACTTAGCTTCTGTTTACTCCGTTTTTATTGGTTTCAAAGGGGGACTTGCTCCCTCAGTGGTGGGAATAACGGGGTTGCTCGTGTCGCATTCATCAAGGAGTCACTGTAATAAAATTTACGGAATCAGTATGTAGATAGAGGGTGTCCACGAAACAGTGTACAGTCCGTTATTTCCTAAACTATTTGAAATACGAGAAAATTGTTGGTATTAAAATTGAATGGCACTTGAGGGGGCTAATTAACCGGCCATTAACCAGTGAGTCGAGAGAAACAATTCTAAAGAAATCATATCGAAGACCCTTTCAGCATAAAGTTCAAAATAACTTTTACGTTTCGATGTCTTCTCAGTAAATAAGAACAAAGAAGAATGGGAAAAGGGGTTTTTCGAAAAAGGATTTCATGTTCAATAGTATTCAAATGTTATTTCGGGGTCGCCCGCGACCCAACAGCATCAGGTACACTAAAAAGAACCCAGACGGCGTCATTCTAGGGTTAGCAATAACATCAATTAAATGTTAATTCGCTTTATGTTTCATTCGTGATAGCTTTCCAGTCAATTAGGGTTCCTTGGGAGTGTATCATTTGCAGAGGAAAAATCTCGAATTAAATGAGTCACTTCCAAGAATTATTCGCGGAATAATAGTACATTTTCGAGAGTATGAACAGATCTACTCGATCTATTTTAGTAGAAAGTGTCAGTGAAAGATTCTTCCATGTCCTGGAACAATCTACTATTAGTAAGAATCGATCAACATTAAAGGACAATTGTTAAATGTGGAAGACAATGTAACTCGAGCCTCGGATCGTTACAGACGTTTGCGAGACGATTCTACAGAAAGCCACGTAAAAAGTGACGAGGACAGTAAAACTATTAAGACCTGGGCAATTCCTAAGAATTGACGCAACTTGTCAAGCAAGAACGAAAGCGGTGAGTTAGCGGATATCCGTCTACAGCGAGCACAGACGTGAACGCACTTAATTAATTACGCGTCACGACGTTTTACGTTCAGCAACGTGACGTCATCAAGACGCTTGAAAAATCCTGATTATAACTATACATTGATCTGTCTATTTTTCGCACAATTTTATCTTTACATCAAGGTATACAGGGTGTTCCACGAAACTGGAACAGACTGTACCTCCTAAATGGGAATAGAAGCAGATGTTATAAGTAAAATTTAAATGGTATCAGACGGTGCATAATATGCAACTAATTTTATGCACTTTTGTGCATCGGTGCATCGGAAAAATGCAAATGCACTTCTTTTAAAATGGAAACTTAGGTTTTTGACTGCACAAAGTTAAAAGTACTAACATACTTATGCCCTGAACTTATTCTTTATGAAGCTATCGAAGCTTCATGTTTACAAACATCCGGAATACTTGCCAAGAGACCGAAATAATTCAGAGAACTTTTAGCTTCGAAAACTTGTTCCATACTTTTTTTTTTAATTGACCAAAAACTAGCGATTATTAGGTGAAAATCGTACTTTTTCAGGAAAATGTCCCCCATTTTGTTCCTAATCAATATTTCGAAAAACCCCACGTTCAAGGACAAGATTGGTTCTTCCATTACATAAATCTTACTGAATTTTTAATTTCAGATGAACCGTTACAAAGTTACAGCGATCACGGCAGACCACTTTTTGTGAAGAGACATCCGGGAGATGGCTCACCATTTATTTACTAATAAATATTATTAAATAACGAAATTCCCTTATAATCTAGAAACTGCAATCTTCGAAACACAAACAAATTTTTTGAAAAAGGTCTTATGGTTTTTAAGAAAAAAATTCCCAAAAAAAAAAACACTTTCTTCGGCCTCCCTTAATACACTCCAGATACGTTTCTACATCTTCGTAGAAAGTACTTGAAACGATCGCCTTGAATCTCAAATACATCACTTTTCCCCTTGAAGATTGCGTGTACCATAATATATGTAATGTACTCTCTTGCACGGATCCAAAGGTAAAGATAATAAAGAGATTAAGGACGACAGGCGTGCCGAGTAAATGTGGTCTATCGTTTGATATTAATTAGACGGCGGGCGCGTCCACACGTTCTTCTTGATGCGCCATCATTAGCGATCATACACGGCCTTAAGGACCGTTTCGTGATGATCCTTAATTTGCTTAGCCTCCAGACTAACCCAATCTCCAAATGGGGCAAGATTTAACTTTCAGAGAAGGCTCCGTGAGATGTTATCGCGTCAATTCGAGCAGCCACACACATGTACAAACGACAGTAGATATAGAAATATAAAACTGCGCGTCAGGCTGGGCCGGCGTCCCAACATTAAAAAGAGAAGGGTTACTTTTGGGAGGACTTGCTATCTATTTCTAATAAAGCTGACTTAAAATGCAGATCCCTAGCGCCTCTACACCCACTATTTAAATTTAAAAAAAGATGTCAAGCCCTCCGAAAGCGATCTACCTCCTTCTAAACTTGAGACGCCCCTTGATGCGCAGTCTACATTTCTATGTTTATATGATACACACACGATAATATGAACTTCAAACATATGGGGGGGACAGGCACTTGTTGCTTGCGCCGTGTCCCGAAATCAGGGATTTAATAAAGGTATAATTTTGATACCAGTATTATGCCCAGGGACTAAAACCGGTATGATTTTGATACATGTATTATGTCAGTAAAGGTATACCGAAAACCGAAATAAAACCGGTATTTTCTCGGTATTTCTATTGTATACATGGCAGGGACTTCTACCGAAACGTAAAATACCGATATTTTTCGATTGTACCTTCATAACCCTTATAGAAACCGAAATACGAAAATATCGGTATATGAAAATCCTAAATACCGGTGAAAATATTACATTCATACCGGTACCGGTATTTAGTATTTTCATATACCGGTATTTTACGTTTCGGTAGAAGTCCCTGCCCGAAACTTTGCTATATTGATTTCGCATCGAGCCAACGGAACTTCGATGCCCCGCCTTCGGAGCATCATTGTTCTCCGGCCCACGACGCCGATATCTCCCTGTATACTATATGTACACATATACGTTCGCAAGACGATTTCAACGAGCTATTTTTACCGGCCATTTCTGCCATATTTAGCCTCTTTCGTAATCATCCCCTTATCATCCACGACGGGAGTTGAACTCTCCTCGTAAGTGAGCTAACACCGAAAACCTGGTACAGTTCATGGAAACAGGAGTTTATCTTGCGTAAAGAATGCGAAGTGATTTCGAATTGTTTCTCCGACACTCGACAGTTCCGGAAACCCCCCCCCCCCCCCCAACGATTCCTCGAGAGACACAGACGCGTTCCGCGAGGATTCACCGTCAAAGACAATGCCCTAGGTCATAGAGGGACAACTGGAACGCCGTGCGAGGGGGTGGGAGCGCGGCGAAGCGGCTCCTATATTAAATCATGGCGAGGCCACTTCTCAAAGTCAGTCCTACGCCGGGCGTTCAAGCAAGAAACAACTTCCCAGATATATCGTGGTCTCCACGAGCAGTTTGTTTTTGCTCTTTTTTAACTATCGAACCCTTTTCCGGTGAACGACGATTTAATCGGGCGGGGGCGGAAACTTGGATCGTAGAGGAGCGCGTGTAACACCGAAAGGAAAAAGGAAACCATAAAAATCGAACAATCGAGGGCAAAGAGAGAAGACGTATTAAAAAACTCCTCTACGAATTCTACCTGGAAGCAGTTTTTCGACAGCACTTGGACACGGGGGTGGTAATTCGTGAGATTTCTCATTCTCAGGAACAAGGTGGTTTTGCCCCATTCGTTACTCGACCGAGTGTCGAAGTCGTGAATTCGATAGTCGTCGTGATTCGAAAACGATTCTCGTCGGGCATGAAGTTGACAGCGTGGAGTTTTGTGTCGTGCATCTTGGTGGCTATCCTGTTTCTGGCGGCCACCACGTCCGGATACCCTGCCAGCAACCCAGAAATAGTGAGTACCATCCGCCCCGAAGCTGATCGAATCGATTGCGAGTATACTTCGCGGTACCATCTACAATTCGAACGTGTCAACGTGATTTCGGGGAACGAATTACAAGGGAAAATTTCTGTACCAACGTTCGATCACCGTTTCCAACGCTGCCTCGCGAATCCTTCGGGGGGGGTTTCCTTTACCGACGATCAATTCCGACCGGTACACACTTGGAACACACATTTTCCGTTTCACGTGGCGTAGGGTTCGCGTGCATCAAGCTCGGCCACGTGTTCCGAGTGATCGTTAGGCAGTTGGCAGCTGCTCCAGGGGTCTTTGACTCGCAAGCTTCCGTTCCTCGTTACGAATAAGCGTGTAAAAAATGCGCAACGGTGGAATGGAACGGACCGACCGCGGGTCGTGAGTGAACGCTGCGACGCGACTAGGTACAGTCATTTGTGTAATCACTAGAAATCCAGGAGTCGAGAAGTTGCGATCCTAAAAGAAAGAAGTAAATAACACACGCACGAGTTTCGTCGAACGTAGAACAGGCTATGATTCATTCGGACAGAATTAATTTCTAGAAATCGTACAAAAATGATAATTGTAACAAATCGTAAAGAATTTAGGGAAATCGCGGCCTGCGGTTATCGTCGGGGTGGCGCAATGGTTTACAAAATTGGAACGAACAGATCTGGATAGAAAATGTTCCGCACGTGTTCACCGATAAAATACATCGTCTGGAATGACATAACTCGGGCATTGATAATACGAATTGTAACGGGAATCGTTTGTTTACAGAAAACAGAACCAATTACACACGCGTGAATTAATTCTTTGCTACAGAATAATGTTTAAACCGTGCAACTGCTGCGTACGCTCCACGGACACCTCCCTCCCCTCCCTTTACCACCCAAATGAGTTACATATTTCGATCGAAACGTGCACGTGGAACCGCGTTCGATAACATTGCAAGCAGAAATGGACGTTGATCGCGAACGATCTTTACTGGACCAGTGGTCTTTCTTCCCTGTCTCTGTGTTGGTATATCTAATCTGACTCGAACTGTAGGTGGTACACGACACACTGTAAACAGATTTAAACAAGCAGGAGTCGTTTTACGGACGATTCCAATTATAATTAACCTCGGTACGATTATCGTCGGTTGTTTACATAGACGTATAATAATTCCTAGACTATGCGTTCTGAATATCTCCCATTGTCAAACCGTGTCAAAAATTAGAAACAGTTAGCTGCTGTACGGTTACCAATCTGTCTTTTTCTAACGATGCCTGGTAAGACAGAGAAGTTTTCGTTTGCCTAGGAAACAGAGAAGTAGAAAGGGAATGAAAAGGAATGAATGTCAGACGAAGGCAGAATGGTGACTCCTAAAGAACGCTATCTTTTTCTAATATTTGACGGCATATCGGCCAAATCTTTAGGTATTATACGTCTATGGTTGTTTATATACCCCGGCGACGCCTGCCCTTTGTTCATCGAGCTCTATTAAACCGCACCAATTTGTTTTCGTCAAGATGTATAACTTGCAGGCGATCGAGAACATGCGACAGATCCCGCAATGGCATTGTCTGCGCTACAGGAAGTTCGACCTGGTGCGCCGTTGTCGGAACTATCGTTTAGGAAGGAAACACTGACACATACAAAATCACAGGTATCCCGGGCCAACGACCAGCAATAAGTCCCTTTACATGAAGCTCCATCGACCAGCCGTTCTGAATGTTCTACTGCACATCTTTAAATTAATTTGAACCGTCGAAAATGTAACCGTACTAATTAGAAGACACCATGTATAATGTATAAAACTGTACCCAGCCTGTCATCACTTACTATCAAGACTGTCCATTGTAAGACTACGATATCTTCGTGTTCCGATTTTCTTCTTCTTGTATAGATTAAAAGCATTATGAAAAAGTGAGAACTTGGTCAATTTCTTGCGAGATCGGTGGCATAAAAAAATCTTTCTATGACCAACACAACAGCGTTATCGGCATATACTAGGCCCCTCCGTTAAGTTATTTATATTATTTGTACTTCCGTGTTTTGTAATTACTTGTACGATAACTAAATGTGAGACTGTATATATGAGAGCGCGTTTCGATCTCATTATAGAATGAGAATGTGTCTTAGAAATAAATTCTGTTTTGTATTGCATGTGTGCTTTCATATCACTTACCTGATAAACTCCCGATACAGTTGGCTATATGCTTTGCTCGTGTACTATTTATACTTGTGCGTAGAATGTTTATTAATCACTTACTTCTTCGACCATTCCCTTTCCTGATATACCCAGTTCTCCGTGCACGTATGAAGTTACTTTCTCCTTGTCTACAGTTGTTTTAGCTGCTATCATATTGGCGAAGGCGGTGGCGGGTACAGAACCATTCGAAGACAGAGTTTCTAGGGTTATAGTCACCTCGGACTCTGGTTCCAACGTTAATAATTCCTACAGACATAACGAATAAACAAGCAAGTTTCTTTTATCCGATTATAAATATTTACTTGGAATGTTACGCACTTGATTAGAATCTAAAAAGAATAGCTGCGACTTTCGCTGCCACCGTTTATACGAGGGATCACGTTTATCTTGAAGATGCGATACAAAGGTTGCTCCCAAAATAGAACTGTTCTTTTCAATAACGTTTTTTCTCGTGTACACGGGCGACAGATTCTGAGGTGTAAACACAAACACTGGAATAACAAACCAAATTAGCGTTTACGATAACATTCAATAATGCGTTCTGCGAGGATGCAAACACTCACGCGAATTATCAGTTGTAAAAACAGCCATATGGGTAGATTTGGGATCAGCTGCGAGAGTTGCAACCTTTAAAGGCACACTCCATATCAACGTAAGAGACAAGATATTCCAAACTGCAATGTGTTCTTTGGAAGCTGCGACAACAAGATGACAACTTTCTTGTTTTCCAAACTCGATCCGTCTAATAAAATTTAGATCCTAATAATTACTGCTACTCTTACAGCTATGCTCATCATTGTGTTCTTTAGAACTTACGTTATTGGTTGTTGATATTGACTCTGAGTAAGACTGCATTTAAATGTACACGTATCTGGTGTCCACATTGTTACACTAGAACTAAAACCAATACCAACTAATGAGCCATCTACTGAGAAACCCGCGTCCGTTACAGGCAGATTTCTATAATCCCCTACACTGTGGCATTGCCAATGTTTTGTATTTTCTAGAACAAACATGATCTTGTAATTCGCTATTATTGTTTATTATAATATACTAATAAATTATATAGGATACGTACTATACATAGACGTAGACTCATCAAGATGCCACAATTTGAATTTCTTGTCCCTACCAGTTGTAACTACAAGTGGTCCATCTTCGTCGAGTAACGTGGTCGGTTGAAATTGTAATGCATTAACGCCTCCCTCGTGGGGAAGTTCAATCGACGTGTTTAATGAGAACCTACCAAATGGACGTGCAGATTTATGGTAACTGAAACGAATAAGGGAATATGTTGTGCTTACAATTGTTCTTTTGCATCGAACATCCAAAACTTGAGCCTAACTTCTATGCATGATAATTTATCGTTACGTTCCTCGACAGTCGCCATCCAAGTTCCGTCGTGATTTAAAGCTATTTTCGTAACTTCTGTATTTACAATGATTAAGCTGCGCTCTTGAGTTAAAAAATTTTGTGCCGTAATATTTATCTGAAAGAACACCAGTATTTAAATATGCTATACTCGTAGTTAACAACAAAATACACCGTGTATTCTTACTCACATTGTACAATAGACTTTTTGTGTAGGTGTTATAAAATTGAACATGTCCAGTACGACTGTTTAAAACAAGAGAGCCTGTACGTGGATCAACAACAAGGCCAGCAGGGAATAAATCTTGGGAAGACAAAGCTACACCCCATGTGAAATTCTGTATTACTGAGGTCAACTTTCTTTGTGGATTCACAACTACGATGCCTGCAATTTTTATTGATGTGTTATTGATAACAGACTAAAAGAAGTTGTAGTATTATCGATAATGGTGGTTAAATAATTCAAGTACCATTGTCCAATGTAGAAACACCAACGTACAAATTATCTGGAGCAATAGTAAGATGTTTTATAGGTGCTGGTAATCGAGGAAGAAAAGATTTATGGAGCGGATTCGCTAAAACCCATTTTACTAATACGCACTCGCCTCCACCGGTATACATATGACCACCTGTAATTCAAAAAAAATTATTTCAATATGTCTGATCATTACTATGTTAAAGTGTACATAAATATTAAAACTTAGATATTTCACCTGATTTACTAAATGCAATTTCAGTAACTGGTAGTGTATGCCAATGATAGACCGCTGTATATGGCCTTGTTTGGAATAAATTCCTCCATACCACAACACGACCAGTCGAATCTCCCGTAGCGACGCATTCTTCTTCTGGATGTCCAGCAATACATGTTGGTATTCTACCTGTTTTGCCTGTTTTGTGTCTATAATTGTGAAATAGAATTTTATAAGTATTTGTTACTACATTCTGTTATTTAAGTAGTAGTACTTTTCCATAGAATTTTGTACATACAATTTGTCTACAAGATTCCTTGCTGGATTTAATATATGTAAATCCAGATCATGAAGAACCGCTATTAAATTCTCCCCATGATTTCCAATTATATCAACATAATACTCTTGGGAATAAATTCTGTAATAATTAACAACAAAATGTTCATTTCTAAATAGCAAATATACTATCATTAAGGTGCTTTTACTTACGATATACATGTAGATTTTGTACTAACTCCACTATCCAAGTCAAATAACACTACATAAATCTTTGTGTTACATTTTGAAACATAGGTCACAAGAACTTGACTTAACTGATTCGCTGTATGAGTCTTATAATTTACAATGTGAAAGGTTTTCACTTTTGGTTCCTCTTGGAATACCAATTTCTACAAGAAGAGCATAAATTTATTGAAGAGACTAACATTTTTTGCGAAAGCATACTTTTTCATACTATTAAGAAATACATTTAATGTTCATACTAATTTTTTCGTGATAATGCCACTTTGACAATTCCAAAAATTGAGTTCTCCATTCTCTGTACAGGCAATAATAGTATTAAAATTTTCCGGGTGTACTGTTAATCCAGCAATTCTAAGATTAGCTGGTTCCAATTCTTTTACAAAGTCTCCTGTTTGTGTACTATAGGCTCTTATAATTTGTTTCCATATTATGTACAGTGTTCTGTAATAATAAAATTCTCTGTTATTCAAATTGTATTACCAATAACTTAACGAAATATATACATATATTCTTCTACATAATGACTACTAATTCGTTCCGACAGAGTACTATTGCGATCGTGTTTTCATTTCTTCTAACTGCTCAACGCATATTAATAAAGTGTTAAAATTCTCGTATATGTTCAGTCAAAACTTACTCTCCATCGTGAGAAAAGACGGGCCGATGATCTATTATACTACCTCCGCCTTTTCTCGTAAGAACTAAATCATCTGCATCTCTGGTTGCAGATTCGCGCCGTGCACTCAACTTCATTTGCATTTTAACACTGTATTCGCAATGGGCTGACGTGTTTGATAACTACACCCCATACATTAATAACTCGTGGATGGACGGGTTACGTGTAAAACAATGGTATTTTGACAATTACACGTGTAACTCTCGGTATAACCAAACCACGCGCCGACCACATGGTTTGGTCCTGCAACTCCTGTATCTAAACACATTGACGAACTTCACACAACATTGGTGCAATCGTAATGAAAAAATACCGACATAATGCAACTTCACGCGAGAAGGTAATTGCAGTTTTCTTCTTATTACAATAAAAAAAGAGTATGCTTAATATTTTACAACAGAAAGAAGAAATTTAAAAAATTGAATTGTAAATTAAACCACAAGTGAAATACATACATATGTATAGGAATAAATCTAGGAATCTGTAATACCAGCACCTCAAAAAACTCGTGATTTTAGCGACATCTACGTTACGAGAATGGTGACTTCGGGAATTATCTTTTGATCCCTTGATAAAGCTACCTGCAATGCTTGCAAAACGTTGGGAAAACAATACCACGAGGATACAACTTACACCCGAAAGCCTCAACAGTAGGAATTGTATCTACGCATCTTTTTCAGATTTGCAATAAATTTTCAACGCCAAGAAATGCTTTCATTTAGGATTTGGATTTTCCTAGCACCTAGTGAAATTGTTATAATGGTCAGATATTGATGATACTGGTGTACACTGTTACAGTAACTGGGAATAAACGTTCATACTAATAAATTGTGTAAACTTCTTTTTTATTAGTACAATCCATTTTATACATTTATAACCTATAGGGCCCTATGAAATACAATAAAAAACAAAATTTTCATTGGATCCAACGAGTTTTCTATTTTATTCTGAACCCAATAAAATACTTGAGAGGAAAAATACATTTCTACGATTGCTCTTGTCTTTGAAAATTACTTTAGAAACTTTTATTTTGCATAAAAATCCGTAGTCTAATATAACTATTAGTCCTGTTTAATTTTCATTTTTCATACATATATTTTCTACATCAATGTTAAGCAAAAGAGGTGCAAGTATAATAAATTAACGAAGGTTATAATTAGTTGTTTGTAAGGATGTGGGACTAAACGGGAATATATTTATATTTTGAAAACTAAATAACTAAGTTTTCCTCTACAAAATACAGATCTTCGAACTTATTGTTTTTTTTATCCGTTACGCATCCTCTGTGGTGATATGAAATTGTATACATATAAAACAAGAGATTCTTGCCGTTTACTGTTAGCCAGTAAACAAGCTAAGTAACAAGAATCAATTGATCAAAATGAACAACCTCGCAGCCAATTAGCTCATATTATTTGCTATATAATACGTCAACTTGTAGGTGATTGTGACTGTCAATTATATACCAAATAATAATGATTGCCCAGGTCTCACCACGTGGAGGTTGCTGCGAATGGAGACCCACCCCCCATCGCGCCTACACCGCCCCACCCTTTGTGCTTTTTGCAACATTTTCCCCAACGAATCTCGTTGTTGATTTAATCGAAGCAGCCCCCAGGATCTTTATATCACGAGAACTACTCTTCACGTGAACTTCATATTAAATAAGAGAAATCTTCGTATGAAGTTCATGTGAAGCGTGTACTCATCATATGTGATCATCAGAATGAAGAGATGTCTTCATGTGATGCTTTCTGAAACATACCCTGAAAGATTAGAATGACACATTATTATTTGTCTTCGTACATGATCTTCATATGATGCTTTCTGAAACAGACTCTGAAAGATTAGAATGACACATTATTATTTGTCTTCACACATGATCTTCACATGATGCTTTCTGAAACAGACTCTGAAAGATTAGAACGAGACATTATTATTAGGTGTGGATACTTGAGTTTGAAGTTTGAACCCACGATAATTCCTGAAACAGAAGTCCAAAAGATCACACCAAAAGATTATAATGGACATTTCATTATGCATACATTTGAATCATAATTGCAATAACAATTTCAATAATAACATGTAATAAGCATAAAAGTATACAAACACATTTTTATAAACATTTTAGTTCGATAATAGAAATTCAAAGTATAAATCACAATAAAACATGGTTACGAACATTTCATTTTGCATAAATTTCAATAAGAATACCAATAACAAGATACATATAATAAGAATAAATAATAGAATGACATGGTTTTATAGAAATTTTATTTCAATGGAGTTGAAATTTGATCCCACGACGATACCGAACCTGAAACAGAAAACTCAAGGTATTATCTTCTCATGTTGACAAACTTGTGTTCATTGTAGGAATTTATGTAGATAATCTGAAACAAACTAATTCATTGGATAAGAAGCTGAAAAGGAAACGGGTTAGTACACACAAAATATTAAGAATATCGGTCTTTTTTTATCGAAAAAAATGAATTTACTAGAACAGTAGACTCGACTATTAAACAAATGAATTTAAGCAAAAAATTAATTATGTCACTGTGCAAAGATGAAACAAGAATAGATTTTATCGCGACTTTATTAGTTCTTTTGTGATATACAATAATCAATATTTAACATAAAAAAAGCATTTAAATCGAAATAATCGTATTTTACTTTATCGAAATTGAAATTATACTCGTATAGAGATAGCAATAACGAATTAACGGCGACTCTACTTGAGAAGTTGCTATCAATATAAAGTATCGTATTTGCATTTGCATATTTTTTCAGCTGCAAGCTTTTCATTAATTGTCAAATTTAGCAACAATCGCGAAGAAACTTTGACCTTTGCAGCGAAATTCCAAAAATTTACAAAAATGTACTCTATTCTGATATCAATATTGTATGCTAGTAACGTATTACGATTGAGCAATTAATCTATTAACAACTCTAACAACAAATAGTCATGCCTACTTCAAAAGACTCTAATTAAACTTTAATCTCAAATTTACATTAATTTTCATTATGCTTGTGTCGACTGTCAGTAATTAATCAAATTTTCAATCCAAATATATAATCTTCAATGTCTATGTAGCAGATATTATTGGTTCAAGAACTTACAACAGAATGACTATTATTATAAAAAAAATTGAACACTTTTCTTTGCAAAATAAATATTTTTTTCAGCAGTATTTCCAACGCAAACACTTGGCAAATAATACAGAAACAGAAAAATAGTCCACTCTTTACATTTCATTTCATTAAAAGAAGAACCCGTGAGTGGACAATTATCTTTCTTTACGCTACACTAAATAATTGAATATAATACGAAAAAACTCCCGAGAGCAGCCACGTAGGGCGCTTATCATTCGCAACACTAATCATTCAATATCAATTACTGTTCAGAATATTCTCAAAAAACGCGAGTGGTGCTTCCTTTGTTCGCCACGCTAATTTAATGAATACAAAAATGAAAAAACTCCCGTGCACCTTCATCTCATAATACGCAACACTAACTTTAGATTGAAATAAACAGGGCAACCATTTTGGGCTGCGTGTGAACCACTCTTTGCAGCAATATAAGCTGCTGCTTTGTGGTTCATATAATGGTTGCAGCATAGTTTTGGGCGTTTCATTGATCGCAACACTAATACAAACCCGATCAATTCATCTCGCAACACTAATTCAACAAAAGACAAGGACTATATGAATCAATTAAAATTGTGATCTTTAATCCAACAAGACTTTCATTCAAATAATAAGTATAAACAATCGCGCTCAGTCATTATCGCAACACTACCCTGAAAATATAAAAATGATTTTAATACAAACACGATTTCATCATTCGCAACACTACCCTGAAAATATAAAAATGATTTTAATGCAAACACGATTTCATCATTCGCAACACTACCCTGAAAATATAAAAATGATTTTAATGCAAACACGATTTCATCATTCGCAACACTATTCTCCAAGCAATTAGGAATATCAATATTAACAATTTACAAGGCTAATGCAACCCGTGATCTAGTCTCATCCGCAGCACTAATTCAAACCGCGATTTTGCCCAAACTTGCTGTTCGTTGGGCCGGGTACATTGGCCAAAAATACTAACTACTACACAACTACAAGCGAGTACAGTGACAAAGTAGTAATGACTCTGCATCCGAAGATGCAGAGCCATTCGCTGCTGCCCTCTTCGATACACAGTTTGTGTTGGGCCACTTCTTTTCTTCGGCGGTCCGCCCGAATCTGAAATCCTAAAACTGCTCGGTTGTGGACGATCAACCGAACTCGCAAGAGTCTTGTACGATCGTACCACGAGTGCAATCGAGCAGGTCGTTCGTTTCGTCGTTCCTATCCTTCCGACCGCGACCGCGACAAAACTATTTGACAAATTTGAAGAATCGAAATCGAAACCAGAAGCAGACAGCATGCTCCGTCTGGATCAGTTTCGAATCGACGCTACAAATTATTCCGGTAGCAGGACTATCACGCGAAATAGGGGGCCTACCCGATTAGAGACTGTGATAGCCTGCCCCGGCCCCTACCTACTTACAATTTAATCATACATTCATACGCAAGAAAGTATGCTACCTACCTACCTAACCCTATATTTAAAAAGAAATGGCAAAAAACAGATTCTCACCAACACACAACACTCCACGGTTCTCAATCATACGCCCGGGTGCAAATTAGCCTAACACCTAGGGAGGACGTCCCGGGACGCCTCCGACACCCGAGCGTAATACACAACTTTCACACTCTACATAGGTACGTACCATTTTCCTGAAATCGACTGGCAAAGACTAGCATCCATTGCGAAAATAGAGAAATTCTCTGAGTATTATAAGTACGTATATTTGGTGTATACTTTAAATCGATTACGTGTTAAATTTCTCGCATGATAACGAGAGACTCGAAATCAGTACATATTCCATGGACATTTTATTATAGACATTGTATAAAGCAAAGGAATATGTACGAT